TTCTCCAGCCCTCTGGACATCTTTCTGGCTCTCCTCTGAACCCATTCCAACAGCTTTGCATCCTTGTGCTGGAGCTCCAAGCTTGGTCTCAGCTCTCCATGTGGGGCTCCACATGGGCAGAGCAGAGAGGGACAGTCCCCTTCCTCTCCCTGCTGCTGCCTCTCTGTTGATACCACCCAGGGTGCTGTTGGCCTTCCAGGCTGCAAGTGCTTCTCTGCATAGTTGTTCTCAAAGAGTTCTTTGTAGACGCCCTGACTCAAGTACAGCACCTTGCACATGTTGAACCTCATTATGTTTACATGGCACCATTTTTCAAGCCTGTCCAGGTCCTTCTGGATGGCAGCCATTTTATAAGTGTGCTGGGGGTCAAATGCTCAGCCTGACTTTTGGACTTTCCTACTGAGACAATAGCAAAGACTCAAGCATCTTCCCTAGAGAGCCTGGGAAGATTGTATTATTTTGTCTAATAGAAAATACTTGCTCAAATTTTGAATGTATGACTATGAAAGTCTATGCTGCTTTTTAGAGGAATGCCTCCCAGCTTCAAAGCATCTCTTTGTTGCTTAACCCATTAATGCATGAAGTGTTGAGTTGCAGCAATGACCATATTCTGGGTTAAGATCTTTATAGAACTGTGATAGGGATGTTATCTTGGAGGGTTTGTTTTGGTATTGATTATTTCATTTACTTCAGAACAGTAAAGGTGACTGGAATAGGAGATTGGTGAAGTGCACAGAGGATCAGTAAGAGAGAAACATTTACAGTGACAAAAAAATGGGTAAAGGAATAAGTAAAAAATATATAGTCGTGTATTCACATTCCTGCTGATTGCAACCATGCTCACTGCCCACTCATTAATGCTAATATAAACTGCTTATTTTGATAAGCATTGCATTTTCCAGCATTGCTGAGTGCAGTGTCCTCCTTGCAATTGCAAGCAGAGGGTATTATTCTTAAAAGAGATCTGCCTTGGCCAGAGCTCTTCCTTAACAGCTATATTTCCACTATTTTCTGTTATTACAACAGTACAGATCATATGATTCAAAGCATCTAGGACAGATGTGACAAAGTTGTATTGCTTGGCGCATTACATTTTTTCTAAGATAAAATAAAAGCTCTTTTTTTAAGCAAAAATTGAGTTGTATATTAGCATTAGGCTAACAGTAATTATCAAATTGTTTCAGATGCATGCGTTTCCTATGTAATCTTAATGGACCGTGAACCAAACAAAGAGGTAGTATGAAGTTTTTCTGCTTAAGTAAATACTGAGCCAAGTGCCTTCCCATATTTCAATATGCATTAGTCCATTAAAAGGTTTAAGACTTCTTTCCATGGAATAATAATTATCATGCATACTTTAAAATCTCTCTTAAAGTCTCTCTAATAAAGATACTATTTATGATTTTTGTGTTATTCTGATAAAATGGAATAATTTATTTAATAAACCCTAATAATCATTTCATAATCCATGAGCACAAATGGATTTTTCACTTAGCAGAGTTAATCTTCATATTGTGTCTTCAAGGGCAGTCTTCTTCTGTGATTGTGTGATTCTTGTTTTGTATATTTTTAAAAAAATAGATTTGTTTATTAACTGTAGACCTTTTTTACTTACATTGTTATGCAATTTTAAAATTGATTTTTCCTCTCTGCATGTCAACGAATTATATGTGGATAGTCCCTGCTATACAGTGTTTCTTAAACTCTTCTGACCAACAGTTCATTACTGAAAAGAGAAAAAAATGTGCACGGTGCTCACTTTGTATCATAGAACCTTTGAAGCTGGGAAGGACCTATCGAGATTGGGTAGTCCATCAGAGGTTGTCTTTGCTGAAACAGAAGTAGTATCATGGTGGTAAGCAATAAGTTGCTGCTTTCTGTGTGTCTGGGCTGCACTTTTAGTATGTTATTCATTCTCATTCAGCACAGACATGAAGCAAGGCTGGGCTGATACAGAATCTTGAAGGCAAATTGCACAAAAAGCTATGGTAGATAAGGATTTTTATGTTATGTGCTGAACTGATATGACATTTTAGGAAAGCGATAAGATCATCAAATTTATAAGGTTAACTGTTTGCTTTTGGCTTTGGAAGAGAAGGAACAAGATTTGTAGATAAATCCAGGGATTATTTTTCAATTTCCCTTAAACTCTGATCATCTTTGGCTGAATTGTAACCTCCTGAAAACACTAGTGTGAGCAAATAGACGTTGAGCCAAAAAGGAAGTGGGAGAAAACTGAGCAGGATTCAGGAGTTAGGCCAGGGCATTGAGATAAGGAGAAAAGCAAGTGGATGCTTATTGTGGATAAGTGGATAAGTAACCACTGTAATAAATAAAAAGATGAAGATGAAATTTCCTCAGTAATAATAGGGTCAAAAATACTATTGCATTTTCCAGCTTCTTCCCTCTGCTGTTGTGAGATTTGGTTGCCACAGCATTAAAAATAAAAACCTTAAAAGAATTTAGGCATAAGATGTAACTATGATTTGGAGCCTGTAGGAATTACAGTGAAAAGTTCAAATGTTTATTGGCTACAGCAGAGAATACAAAAGGAAACATTATAGCAGTTTTCAAATAATTGAGAGGGAGTAAACTCATCTTCATGTCCATGGTGAATGAGAAGTAATGGGCTGTAATTGCAGTTCAGAAGATTCATACGAAGCACAAAACATTTCTGAGTAGTGGAGCACTAGAGTATGTTGTATATGGAGGGGTTGGAATCACCATCTATTGTAAAAAGAGATGAGGCAAATATCTCCAGGAATTACATCAGTATTGCTGATGCTGTTTGAGGCTGAATCATGAACAAGGTGGCTTTAGAGTATCACTTCCAACCTCATTTTTTAATATAATTATAGAAGTAGAGAATGTTTCTCATAAGCAAAAAGCTCTTCAATCCTGCAGGAAGTGCACTAATAGATGATACAGTTGGGAGAAGAATTACATAAAATCAAGCTAGGAAGAAATATCATTTTAAGACCAGCTAATCACCGAGCAAATCCCCAAAGGACACAATAGATTTTATGTAGCTTGAAGCCTATATATAAATTATGGGTGTGACTCAGAAGAAACTGTTTGAAATTACTGTACTTAGTCTGTATTTGATGGGATGTGAAACTTGGTGATCTTAGGACCTATTTTATTGTGGGGCTGATTTTTTTTGGATTACCACATTTGTGTGACTGCATCAACAAGACATCTGTTCGATCCACTTTAGTCTCCTTCATTTTCCAAACCTGCTGTAAAAGTCACACAAATATATTCACAGAGCAACATGCAGTGGCCACAGTCTTTGCTGTCTTTCTTTGGTACTGTCGTGTCTGTAACTGCTCCTCTTGCTTCTAGATTAAGATCCAAAAAGTTGCAGAATTCCTCTGGAATAAAGCTTAAAGTGTAAAAAAACAAAAAATATTTTTAATTATGTTTCTTGCTCTGTTCAGAATGAGGGGATATTTGTAGGGCCTCAATGAAAAATACTAAAAATCATTTTACAGTTGCTCTGTTTTTGACTGCTGGATGAGGAGTTACTTTCCTCACTGGCAACTGCTGGAGGCAGTAAGGTAGGTGAGGTGAGGTCTGAGCATATATCAAAGCTGGATGAGCAATGGTTCTGTGGATAGAATAGCAAAATAGTGACTATACAGATATTTTTAATGACTGCCATTGATGTAAGTAGCAGTCATGAAATAGAACCAGCATGATGGCATCTGGAAGCAAAGAAAGAAACTAATTTTTCTAGATTTTTAAGTCACTTTGATAAATCACATGCCCAAGCTAGCCAGAGAGGAAGAACAGAAAGAACTGAAGGACTGGAGGCTTTGGAGGAAGGAAATGAAAAATTATTTCCACTTAAACATTGTTTTAAATATGCTTTGTAGCATTAGTCTAAGAATTACTAAATATTGTATTCTGCTTCTCCAGCATATATGTTTTTAATTTGTAAAGTTGTTTGCTATTACATAATTTATTGCATTCTTGACAAGGAGTTGAAGTTTAGACTTTAATCTTCCAGGGAAATATGGGAAGAAATATTTTTGAAATTGAATGCTCAGACTTCGGTGGAGCTCTTCCATTTCTCATTTCACAGTTCTGCTTGGAGGAGCGCAATAAATGGTGAGTCTTAAGAATGAACTGTGTAAGCAAGAGCGCATCAGAAATACTGGAAATCTGTCAGAGATGATAGTAGCAGTATTTTGAGTGCTTACAATTAATGCCTGTTACTTTTGAGAAACACAAAATGCTTCAAAAACAGTGTTTTTCTGAATACAAAGAGGAAGCAGATGAAATGGCTTGAACTTTAGGCACTGAGCTAATTTTCAGACTCAGTGTACATCAGGTCATTAAGCAGAAAGCTACTTTGTGTAACAACGCATTTAATGTGTACTTACCATAAAAGCCATTTCCTGTTATTCTGTAAAACCAATTAGCTATTTACCAAATACCCAATTTCATGTCTGTGTGATTTCTTTCTTTTCTTTTTTTTTTTTTGTTTTTTGCTATGAAAAAAGGAAAATGTGAATCGTATAAATTATTACCTAATTTCATCTCATACTTTACGCTATTAAATTATTTTCTAAAAAGGATTGGGGCAAGCCTTTAGCATATCTCAGAAATGCTCAATAACACGAGCCCCTACATTTGTCTCAGTGATAAACTACAGCCTTTGCATATTCTGTATAATATAATCTGCCTGTTTGTATGTGAATTTGTTCTCTTTTTCTCCTTTTATTCTACACATAGTTACCATGCATTCCATGAGTAGTAATGAAGATGCATTTCTGCACTGTTCATTTTGCTTGCTGTTGCATATCACATGCTTTGAGAACATGATAAGTTATAAGAGGCATTCTTGGCATCTCTTGCTTATTTAAGTCTTGAAATTAAGGAGTATCCTGAAGCTTCTGACCAGCAGCTGAAGTCTTCAGTCCATGATGGATGCATTTGGGTTTGCATCGTAATAAAGGTGCGTGCATTATTTAGAAGTAGCTCTTAATCATATAATCATTGAATGGCTTACATTGGAAGGAACTTTAAAAACCATCTTGTTCCAACCCTCCTTCTTTGGTCCACTGCTGGTGTTGTTCCATCATAGAGGATCACCTGATAGGTTAGGCACAATCTGCCCATGGTGAAGCCATATTCCACATCTCACATGTGCCTTAGCATCTCTTCCAGGATGATCCACTCCATGACCTTGCCAGGCAGCTCACCAATCTGTAGTTTCCCAGCTCTTCCTTTCTCCCTTTCATAAAAATGGGAGTGATTTTCCCTTTTTCCAGTATCACAGACATTGCCTGACAGCCATTTACCAAGGACTGTGAAATTTTACTGCTGAGCAGTGAACTGCCACCACTACATAACTTGTAAGAAATCATATCAACTTGTAGGAAACATTACTTATGAGCCATAAGCATTGGGGTTAATAATTCACACTGCTCCCAATAAGTGTTACAAAAGAGTGTTATACTATGAAAATCTACTATCACTGCTCAAACTGTGCTTGTAAGTAGGGCTAGGTAGGGCTACAAATTAAAAGATATTTTTCTTGTGCTCTGTCAATAAAAAGGAAAAAGAAGATGGTGTTGCAGTTAACGGTAGAGACTGATCTATGGCAAGAAGATGGCAACTAAATGGAGAGTTATTTCTATAATGAATATTATTTTGTTGTTAAACCAGCTTTTCTTCTTCTTTTTTTTTTTTTTTTTTCTTGTTTTAATTATTGTGAGGAATAATGAAGGAAACTGAGAAGAAAAGAATGTTTTTACTGTTCAGCCAGCTTTCCCCATCCCTGCAGCAGAGCGGTACAAGAAAAACTACTTGTTTAAATGTTTTGTTTTTAGCTGCAGTTCCTAAGGTCATCTGTTAACAGCTGCAGTTGTTCCCTTTTTTTTTATCCATGCCTTTCTTTCTTCAGGTTACTGGTGTTACAGTTTGCAAAGAAGGCAGACGTGCAGCTCTTCATACTCCTTTGATATCTCTCTTCATTCCCAGGGTTACGTTATTGAAGGGGATGTAGCAAAAGCAGTGTGTTAAGATCAGGATTTTCTTTTCTTTTGTACTTAGTGATACTAGCAGATACACTATTACAGAGCATGCTGATTTTGACCAGAGCACACACAGTGCCCTTATGGAATGATGTTTTACCAATACTTAGGATTCTGCTCTTGAGGACATACTAATGCTTTCAGGAAAAATAACTTACACTTGATCTTCCATCACAGCATACTTAGCATTGCTATTTCTTTAAAACCATCCTCAGTTGTTTCTTTTGCTGATGGCATCTATTGGGCAGCATTTGATCCCCATTGCTTTTCAGTTTGCATGCATTAGGGCTGCCTGGCTTTTAAGGACAACGTAGTTTATTCACTATACTTCTTCCAACAAAACCCATGACAGCTTTTAATCATTGTATGAAAGATTTAGGCTCTGTCTGCTGAAGAGTAAGATAATTTTTGGACACTAATGAGTGCCGCTGATGTAGCTGAAAGAGAAATAATTGTAATTAGCAATAAGACTCATGAGAAATGTATGCCTGTTACTATTACTAGTAGATTTTGTACATAAATTTTATTTAAAAAATATAACTAGTTTCAGGATACAAAATTGTGGTTTTTATTTTGTTCAGACAAAGCTTGTATGTTGTAATGAAATAACAGCATAGTGTAATATTGAATGTATTTTGAGCTTGGATTTTATACATGTGAAATATGAAACTATATTTTATCAGAGCATGTAGCGACAGGATGAGGGGAAATGGCTTTAAACTAGAAGAGGGTAGGTTTAGACTTGATATTAGGAAGAAATTCTTTCTGTGAGGATGGTGAGACATTGAACAGATTGCCCAGGGAGTTTGTGGATGCTTCCTCTCTGGAAACATTCAAGGCCAGGCTGGATGGGGCTGTGAGCAACCTGGTCTAGAGGGAGGTGTCCCTGCCTACAGCAGGGGGGGTTGGTACTAGATGATCTTAAAGGTCCCTTCCAATCCAAACCATTCTATGCTTCTATGATTCTGTGTTCACATTGAGATTTTATCTTTACAAATACATAATGGATACACATCATAGCCTGGGAATAATAAAAAGTAGAATTTTAGGAATGAAACCCAACAATGTATTAAGTATCATTTCAGGTTGTGGATGCCCCATCCCTGGAGGCATTCAAGGCCAGGCTGGATGTGGCTCTGGGCAGCCTGGTCTGGTGGTTGGCAACACTGCACATAGCAGGGGGTTGAAAATAAATGATCACTGTGGTCCTTTTCAACCCAGGCCATTTTATGATTTTATGATTCTGTGATTTCTAAACAGAAGCTTTTAATGAAGTGCAAAATTTGTCCTAATATTCAGCATATGCTGGGAAGTCGGGCTGTTTAAAAGTTCAGAATGAAATACAAAGCATAACAGTATTTTACTATTGAACAGAAACATTGCAGGTTTTTAGTAAGTGCAAATGGTAAGTCCCAAAGAAATAAAACAATCTAGTAATATCTGTGTAATCTTTCTTCAAAAGAATCACCCTCTGGCTTTTTCCTTTTTTTTGCAGTGCTCCCCATGAGATTACAAGACCTCAGAGCAACAGCGAAGCTCCTCCCTCTGTACCTCCCTCATGCATCCCAATACAAAAACTTTCTGGGTGGATGCTAGATAGGTAGGTCTTCAGAACAGAGTGGAGATAGTGAGAAAATGAAAACTTTCTCTTAGAAGATAAGAGCTAACTGAAATTAGCTTAAAGAAATCAGTCTGAAGGCTTTTTCTTTCTAAGGGGACACTGTAAGTGTTTTGTTTCTGCTAAATATTTGGTGTACTGTGCAAAGTTTCCATTGCTAAATTTGTAAATTTAAATCTGTGTGTTTGTTTAAAGTATTCTGGGGTTCTCAGTGTGTGTGTGTGTACGTATATCTATAAGAGCATGTCTGATTTTAATTCTTAGATAGGGTTTTGTTTTTAATTACAGGTAGAAAAAAATCTGGTTTTAATGTAGAACTGCTATCTTGCAGCAAACATACTTTTATTCTTCTAACATTTATCATATTTTACTAAATGCCAATGAAATTCTCGTTCCTTTCAAGCTGCTTTCTGCCTTGCTTGCTACACTGGCAGAATACAGTAGTATTCAAATTGGCTTTGATACTATCTAATCTGAGCTCTAATTACCTTCAGATAGTGCAATTTCTTTTTCTGCACAAATCCGAAATGTTGTTGTGTGATTTTATTCAAGGCATTTAAGTAATGCAAAACCTGGCCCAATATCTATTTCTGATTTTGGAAGTGATGAGCAGATTTGATTACATTATATTGAAACTGTGAATATCTTTTATGCCTGTTTCAAAATAAACAAGCAAACAAGCAACTGTCCACTCGAAATAACATAAAGTTTGTGTAGGGGAAAGCAGATTGCAGAGAGTGAGGAGCAAAGTGGAGGAAATGACCACGTATTTTAGAAACAGATATTAGTCCAGTAAAATGTGTTATGTTTCCCAGCTTGTTTTTGGAAAAGGATAAAATAAATCTGCTAAATCTTGTAATAAGCATTGGTGTTTAGACAGAAGAAAATAGTAATCTGAGAGCAGATATGTTCTGTTTATGCTGGAACTGAGTAGATAATAGTAGCTTTTTTGCAAGGTATTGTACAGCACAGAAAAGAGAGTTCTTATCCTATCTCTTAGTGCTGTAACGAGCTGCTTTCTCATTTGCTCATTTTCTTTGCAGTTCCTTGTTTCAGAAGCATTTGAGCTAGGTACGAGATAGTATTTTGATTCTTTTTAAATCTTCTTAGCTTTTTATTAAGTGTTAGTAGTTATTATTTATAATGGGTATTCATTGCAGTGTATATATTTAGTGCATCAATGTGTAAAATTGATGAATTTGAAGATGTTTACAACATTCAGCATTTCTATATCAGTGTTTGCTGTGTATGGTGAACTGATTAAATATAACATTTGAAATGTGAAATTCTAAAGTAGCTATGTCCATTTGATCATTGCATTATCTCTCCAACCTTGATTAACTGTGCTTACGAATAGATATCCACTGTCTGTTAATGGGAGTTAAGATGCCTTGATCACAGGCAGGATCTCAATGAAGGTGTCTTTATCTACAGGCAATATCCAACCTAACATCTTTGGGCTTCTGAACATCAGGCCTATGTGTTAATATGCATTTTTATACTGTTAAGGTACTAAAAAGGCTGCTGATTTTATTGACCTAAAAAGTGAGCCTCTTAGTTATGTCAACAAAAACTGTCCTGTACACAGTTCAGTGTGGTTAAGTACACCTTTATGAATTACTTGGAAATATTTTGTTCTGGATGTTTAGTTATTATGATTATCTGAACTATGTGTAGGATCTATTAAAATTTAATTTTGCACATTGTCACTGAAAAATGATTTGTTGAAAAATGCACAGATTTGCCCAAATAAGCTTTTGGAAATACTGTTGATGAGTACTGAAAAAGGTATGGAATCATAGAATCACAGAACTGTAGGAGCTGGAAGGGACCACTGGGGACCATCGAGTCCAACCCCAGTGCTAAGCAGTTCCCTACAGCAGAGCACACAGGTAGGCTTACAGGCAGGTACTGAGTATCTGCAGAGAAGGAGACTCCACAACTCAGCACAGGCTGTTCCAGTGCTCTGACAGTAAGGAAGTTCTTCCTTGCATTAGTATGGAACTTCCTGTGTTTCAATTTCTGCCCATTGCCTCTTGTTCTACTGTTGCTGGCCATTGAAAAGAGACTGCCTCCATTGAATTGAGTCCCTCACTTGAGATATTTATAAATGCTCATGACATCCCCACTCAGCCTTATCTTCTCTAGGCTGAACAGACCCAGGTCTCTCAGCCTTTCCTTATGAGAGTAATGCTCCAGGCTCCTCATTGTCTTTATCACTCTCTGATGGACTCTTGGACTCTTTCTATGAGAGCCCTGGTTTTTTTGAACAGAGGAGCCCAGAACTGAACATGTTACTCCAGACATGGTCTCACCAGGGCAGAGTAGAGGGGAGAGGATCACCTCCTTCAAGTTGCTGACCACACTCTTTTTAATGCACCCCAGGATCCCATTGGCCTTCTTGACCATAGGGGCACACTGCTGGCTTATGGCCAACCAGTTGTCCAGCAGAACACCCAGGACCTTTTTTACAGAGCTCCTTTCTAACAGGTCAGCCCCTATCCTGAACTGGTGCATACAGTTATTCTTCCCCAGGTGCAAGGCTCTACACTTGCTCTTGTTAAACCTCATCAGGTTCCTCTTTGCTCAATTTTCCAGTCTGTCCAGGTAGAAAAGGGCTCTGCAGGAGCATGGGTTTTAGGAGTTGCAGCCTTTTGATAATTAGCAATACTTACAATGAGACCACGTTATGTTCTTTTATTTATTCATTTTAAGGTACTTCTTGCCCTAAGTTAAACATGGAGTTATTTGATTTTGTGCAAACAAAATCCTATCAGAGTGAGACACTTCTATTCCTTATTTTTCTGTGAATTAATCTACTAAATGTATGTTAGAACCAATTTAGAAGATAATGCAATTTGTCCTTTTGTTCTTTCATGTCCAGATGCTCAGACTAAATATTTAATGGGCTATTCAATGGGCTGTTACAAGTGAAGGAGCAGATTGTCAAATTATTTCTATCAGGATTAAATATTATACATGCTGGAAATAAGTTGAAATCCAAATGAGGTCAGTTTTCTATTTATATTCCTACTAGTTTTTCTACTATACTTCGAGAGCTCCTTCTATCAAAAACATCCTTCATGGAATTTGAGTGTGTATTTCATTCTGAAACTCTGAATCTATTGGTTATTATCTGCAGTAATTAGTCATTACCCCTGTGAGCACTTGTGAATTCTGTCTGTGTTAATGGTCTCATTTTTGGCAGTACTTTGCCATTCTAGAAAATGTTGTCCCAAAAGGAAAGTTTTTGTCTTAGGTTTTTGGGTTTTTTTAATAGATAATTATAGTACAGTAGCACCCATATGTTTGCTTTCTTTGATTACTTTTTTATCTGTTCCTAATACTTTGCCATATACTTCTCATCAGTATATCTGGAATTCCTTGGGTTTTTCTTTTGACATAAAAAAATTGTGTTAGTTTCATAGTCATCAAAGTCAGCCTTAAGCTACTTAGGCTTACCTAAAACCATTAGTTTATTTACAGTCAATTCAGTTCCTTTTCTCAAGATGAGAAAACTAAGTACTTTCCAAGTTAATTAGGAAAAAAAAAAAAAAAAAAGTGAATTCAATTAAATGTTTTTGAGTTCGTGACCCTTAGGTTGTTATCCTTCAGTAACTGAAGTGTATTTATAACTGTTACTTGTGGACCAATCTCTTTAGGACCAGAGACACCAAAATGTGACATAGGATTTACAATTCTGAGGTTAGTTTCAATGGAAATTTCATAAATACTTTGCACTGGAAATCAATAGACTTCATTCTAGCATTGTATTTACCTTTAGCAGCATGTTCTGATTAGTGTGTGGTTAGGATTTCCTCCCACTTACTTGAGTTTACACTCTCTGGTCTATTCTCTGAGGTTCTAGAAGGAATCCCATCCACTATTGCTTTGTCATTACTTCTGGGAGCACATTTTCTGTTGCCTCCCTCTCATAATTGTTTGCTAGAGAGACTTTAATGTCCAGTGCAAACGCTGACATTATTTCTGAGGGCAAGACAAATGCTTGGCAGATGATGGAAGGGCAGCATTTCTGTTGTTCCATGTGAATACAGTGCTAGTATAGGTCTCACATTGTCCATCAATGTTTGTCCACTTGTTTGTCTGCTTACAACTTGAAGCTGCTGAAGGAGATGTGTTTTTTTTTTTCCTCTTGATCACTGCTTTTGGCAGGTCCAGCCTTCAGTTCCCAAAACTGCAGTGTTAAATCCGGCTTCACGTTAGCTGAAAAAATTTCCTTTGCTTCACTTATTACAGTCAGTGCAGTTATCTAAAAGGTCAGTTGCTCTGTTATTCTTAAAAATCTCTTGGAAGATAAAATTAATTTTCTTAGAATTATTACAAATTGAAGAAAAGAACATACTGATTTTTCACTTTGTTTATTGATTGAAATGGGTCTGTGGTTTTGCAGACTAACAGTTGTGTGATTATACACTTTCAGTTTGTTACAATGGTACATTTTGATCTCAGAATTGCGGTCCTTGGTCAGATCTCATCTTGCTTTTAAAGTCCCAGAGGAGGAAAAAATCTAAAACCAAAGTGAAATTATTACACAGTCGTTCACGTTGCACAGCATGCCAGCCATTGGCATGTTCTTTTCAAATAAGTACACCTATACATTTAAAGGAGCAGGCTATAGTTAGAAGAGCATATGGATTCCCTGTCATGAGCCACACCTGAGCTCACAAAAGTAAGATAGCGCAGCTGGACTTCAGGCAGTCAAGAATGCAGAGTGCTTTAAAGATCTGTTGCTGACCAAAGGTATGTTATAGGGGGGTGTAGTTGGTTCTGTAGTGAGTCTGAAAGGGTAAGTCATCCTTTAATGATTCTCAATCTTCTTCACCTTTTGTGGATGAGAACTGCAGTCATGTAAATTGCTGGCAACCATAAGAAAGAAATAACTGTGAATTTGGACCAAGTGTAATTGGTATACGAATACTTACAATGATTTGTATTAATTCAGTACTTCTTATGGCCTTGCCACCCACCCCTTTGTCAGTGATTTCAGCACAAGCAAAAGATACTTTCTTAAACCCCAGAATAAAAGCAGGGTTTGTGAGTATGTGAGAAGGTGAAGTTACTTCTTCATGTACACCTTTTGCTAGGCTGCTATGAGAGGCTGAATTTTGTTTATTCAGGCTGCAGGTGTGATTGAAAACACGTCAGTGATTTGAATCAAAATCATGGTTGTTCAAAGCAATTCAACGTCTTTCCTCTAGGATGTGGAAAAAAATAGTTACCAAGCAAATAAACATAACCAAGACCTCCAGATACTACTGCACACCTCCAAAACACTGAGACATTTGTGAAGCTCTAGGAAAGTAGTGCTTTATGATTATCTTTAGGTTATTTAAGTTCTGTGTAACAGTCTGTATGGAGCTTCATTAGTGTTGATCAGTGGTCACATCATCTCCTAGTGAGGCTTGTTCTGAAGAAATGCAGATCCCTGGCATGCAGAGCAGGGCTGCTCACCAGCAGAATTAAGCATAGAGGCTATCCCAGTTCCATCAGTGATGCTACTGTAATTATTATTTTTCTTTTTTTTAAGAACTCTATCTAATGTCCCTGACTGTATCAAATGACTCTTAATTACCAAATCTGGTGAGAGAGCATGCAAGACTCATTGTCAGCAATGTGTTAGTGAAAAACAATATCAAGCAGCATTGTGTATTTTGTGGTGTGATGATTCCTATCTTTTGTACACTTTTGATAGGTCTTCTGAAGTCAAATGAGTAATTCCAGGAGAAACCTCAGCAGAAATATGGAGGCATGTTTGAAACTTGGATGTTTCACAGACTCTTCATCTTTTTTTTGAGCTTGAAGGTTTTTAAAAGTTTGTTGTACAGGTTGTGGTTTTTTTTTGTTTTGGTTTGTTTTTTTTAATGCTGATGAATAGACAATACAAGTATTCTCTCACCACAAATTGTAAACCCTCAGCTGCAGCCACATTCTATCAATATTGGAAAAAAGCATTGTGAACTGAGAGGTTTTCATAATGCCTAAATGATGAAAAGAGTTAAGAATGTAGTTTGTAAAACAGCATGAGCAAAGCATAAAAGTAACCAGCAAATCAGCGGAATCAGAGGAGAGCAAAGTCAAGACCTTTAAGGTAAAAACCTATTTCTTCTTGGGTTTTTACTATGAGCTGTGAATATCTTCTAGGACATACTCAAACCTCAACTGTACAAAGCTCCACTGTGACAAACTCTATGTTAGCCTTGGTTTGAGCAGGGCATGGATCTGATGAGCCTCTTCCAATTAATTATTTGTGTACCTATGGGATCAGGAGGGGTGGTAGATATGCAACTATGTTATCCTGAAGTGCAGAAATTAAAGTGTGAGGTTGCTAATACTATGAGTTGTTTCAGAGAAACAATTCAGAGGTTATCAAAGTTCTGATAGAGATGTGATTTTGATGCATCTTAGATGAAAAAGAGAAAGGAAAAAAGCATCTCTTTTGCAACCTGGATTTGCTGGTCTCCATGGATTTTGTTTTACGTTACCCTTTCTTCTAATTGAATGTGTTTCTAACTCCTCCTTTGTTTTCACACAGGATTTCACAGAAGGAAGAAATTATTTGTTTCATTTTAGTTACTGTTTTTGTTTTTTCTTTTCTTATTAATTTCTGCTTATCAAGAGCTTTCTCTTTTAAGCTATTTCTAGCACTGAAAACAAACAAGGAAAATGGATCCCTTGTTTTGGCCACTGGAAACTATCAGCTTTCAACGGTTCACTCCCGAGTCCTTGGCAGCAATTGAGAAAAAAATTGCTGAGAAAAAAGAGAAGCGAGCCAAACTTAAGCAGGAAAATACTGACCAAGAAGTTGAAGAGGATAAAGTGACTCCTCAGCTTGATCTGAAAACCTATAAAAAACTGCCATCTCTCTATGGTGATGTTCCTGTGGAGCTTATTGGGGAACCCCTGGAAGATTTGGATCCATACTACAGTGACCACAGGGTTAAAATTTTAAAAAATAATAATAATTTTTTTTTTTTGTTTAATTTTATCTGCTATACTCCTAAGAGATAATGAAGGTTGTATTCAAAAGTTGCTGCTTTTGGATTGCAGACAGATCTGTAGATAGATTTTTAGAACATTACTAGTATTTGTTAGGGTAGGCATGCTAACCTATGTCCCTTACCCTGTAACTACAAGGTATTTTTAAGGTCCAGTAGGTAATCCGAATTGATTATGAGAATAGAATACACTGGATAGATTTTGATCAAAAATAGGTTCTGAGATAACTGATGCTTTGTTACTCAGAAGAGTTTCTGTGAAGTACGTGAGGCTGAACTCGGTGCCTGTCAAACAATGGGTCACCCTGACTTATTGCAAATATACAAACTAGATGAGGCATATTTGAAATGTTTCCAGTACTCTGTATAGCAGAAAGACAAATTTGCTTTAGACAACATCAATTATTTGATAACAAAGCTAATGAGACATTACAAAGAAACTGTACAGTATTGAGATTGCGTATACTCCATGCCACTGCAGAATGTTTTTCTTTGTTGCCTATAGCAATATGCGAATTAGACGCTGTAGGATTCTCTTCCAAATTAAATGTCTATTGTATGATTCCTTATTATTATACCTGAAGAGCAGAATGTTCCACTCAATCTGATGTTGCTGTCTGTAAAATAGACCAGCAATTCACTGGACTGTGATTGTTTAATCAGAGAACATGAAGAAGGCTTTGTAATTATTGGTGAAAAGGGCCTTCAAGAGACTTTTTCTCTCAAAGTAAACAATGATTGATGGAAAGAAAGTAAGACTGCAACAAAGGCATCTACATAAATGTTAGTTATTTTTGATTAATGACACTTAACTTTTACTTCATCTGCCAATAGAACTGAGTTGCAATGGACCTTATGGTAACTAGGAGGTAATTTACACAGCTGCTTCATAACTTTATTTCTTTAAAATATTTCATATGCTATGATTTTTCTTTTTTTTTTAATAGACTTTCATGGTGATCAATAAAAGACGGACTATTTTCCGGTTTACTGCCACACCTGCCTTGTGTATACTTGGTCCTTTTAATCCAATCAGAAAAGCAGCAATTAAAGTTCTGATCCATTCATATCCTTTGGTTGAGTTCTGTTGTTTCAATTTTAGAACGTATGGTGCACATTTATGTGGTGCTCTTCATAATAATCAAATTGTGGCTTTGATGCTGAGAGCAAAACTATTTACAAGACACAATATTTACAAATATTTACTGTATTTTAGTGTTAAAAAACTCCTATTTGAAGAGTTAGATTTGAAGATGCTGTTATGAAACAGCATTTAGAAGCTAGAGCGTGATATCTTAGCTCTTTTCCAGAACTTTTTGTGAATCTCCAGCTTAGTGGCAAGCTTAAAATTTTAGTTAAAAACAAACCAGGGACTTCCTCATAATTAAAACATGAAGAATGGGAATTACAGCAATGCTTTGCTGAAAGAGTCCAGTGTTTCCCTAAAAAGAATATTTCAAGTTCAAGTTTATACAGCATTTACTGAAAGCAACTTTCACTGTTTTATAGTACAGCGCATTTTCCTTAGCTTATTCACATTATTTGTTGGCTTTATTACATTGACTGTGATACTCAACTGTGCTTCCATGGCTATAAATAAACCTCCACCAGAGATGAATACGATTGAGTAAGTATCTCAGTTGCCTTTTGTTCACTCTAAGGAAACCAGCACACGAGACTTAAGAAGAGTAAATAATGTGGTGTGCTAATTTCAGTGTTCAAAAGCCCTCAGGCTGCTGAGGAAGATTTGAGATTACTGTAGTATAGTTGGTCTTTGTGGAGCTTCAGCCTCTTTTCTTAGAGGTATACAAACATGCACATCATACTGGCCATTTTTGCCATCTGGTGTGATGTATAAGGTTGGCCCATTTTCCTTTGGAGGATTCAGCCTTCTAGGGAGTTGTACAACTCTAAGTTATAGAATAGGATGAGATAGAACTGGATAAAATAGACAACCTCAGTGTTGTCGGTCTCTCCTCATAGGACCTGCTTTCCAGCTCTTTTACCATGTTTGTTGCCCTTCTTTAGGAGTTTCCAAGATAGCCCCTGTTCAGCTGCTCACAGTAGGAAGCCATGTATTTAGACTGTTGTCTTGTCTTTGGTAATTGTGCCCTTTATCCAGTTTAACTTGAATGAATATTCCAGAATTAAAACTTGAAATTGTGCCTGTGGCATCAGAGATTCCATATTTTTAATTGCTCATATTTTGGGGTAAGGACAGTGATAATTATTCCTTAGTTTTATGTAGACCTTACTTTGGGTACAGAACTTTTGCTAGAATAAACTTATGAAACATGCAATCTTTCCAAGCTTTGCAGAAAAAAATGCCTTCTGCTGCTACAGTTTTGCCAAAATGTTAAGGCCCTGCTTTAGAACTTATACATGGGCTTCCATTATTTTTCATAAGAGCACGAGCTACTCTTTGTCTGGAAATGGCATGGTATACTGAGATGAACATTTGTAATCATAGATCTACATGGAAACTGCACTGAAACTCAGGGATACATCTTCTCATACTCATGAAAGTAATGTATCCTGTTGGTTCTACTTTTGTTTCCATCCGGTAGTTAAATCACAGAAAAGGTAGGATGTCCTTGAATGTATTTCAATCTCATTCATGTTTTTATTTCTGTATCTTTAATATGTTTTCCTTCTCAGAAACATCTTTACTGCCATATACACTGGTGAAATATTGATAAAAGTATTAGCAAGAGGATTGGTTTGGAATGAGTTTACCTTTCTTCGAGATCCATGGAACATTCTGGATTTTGCTGTTCTTGTGGCGACGTAAGTGAAGCTCAATTCTTCTTTCACACTCAAGAGGACAAATGTGCAAGTAATATGCTAATTGATGTTCTAGAGTTGTTTGTAGAAGCCATGGAATGTCAACTACAAGAGTGACTCTGTTTCAGTCACCCCCTGTGTATCTGCTGCCCAGTAAGAGGAAAAATAGTTGTGGACTTTAAAACAAGATCTAAATGCAAAAACTCCTTTTGAGTTTGCTTTAATTTGCTTTGTATCTTAATGCATTATCACATTTAATAGACCTATTCTCAACTTAGTACATTTTTATCTTTCTTTTAAGAGTTTTCTGCATAGACTGCCAAAACTAAACATAAGGCATGCTATCTTATTTGTTCTTCTCTGGATCAGATGAAGCTCATTTAAGGAGGAGTCAAAAGACATCACAAGGTGTTGAATGACATGCTGATAAGTAGCAGATGAAAGTAACGTAAAGCATTTCTGAAGGAAAAATTGACCTTGTTTTACAGATGCAGCTAGGAGCTCTGAAATAAATTTCATTAGTTGGGAAAAACATTTGGAGTTTAAATAAATGATCTGGTGAAAACAGTACTTCGTGTCCACTTATGGTCAGAGAATAAAATAGAAAATGAAGACATCAAGGATGAGAAACAAAGTGGAATGCAAAGTTACTTTCATACAGAAATCTTTATATTTTTTCAGGATTGTATGTAGTTTTGCACCTGCAGTCTTGAAAGATGACAGTTGAAGATACAGAGAAGGATGAGTAAATGTACATCTTATGTTCCAGGTGAAGGGAAACTACATGGTGTAGGACCCATGAAAAAGGGAAAACACAGTAGGAACACTAGAAATCTCTAGCACAGAGCCAGAAAGAGAATAAATCCGTTTTTCTAAAAATATAGATGAGCTAAAGGTGCCAATTGAAGTTTTCAGATGGCAGAATGAAAATAAAGGGTTTAGCTTTTCACAGCATGCATAGGTGCATTACCATAGGAGGTGGGGTGAATTTCTTGTTTGGAATGTTTCTGGGCAGAATGCTGGAGGAGATCACATTAAGGTTTTATTTAACACAGAAGTAGATTGTCATCTTCAGGAAATTCTTGAGCTACAAGTTCTGTGGAAGAATGAAATCTTGGCCTTGATTCTAAACTCTTCTGTAAGCATTAGTCATGGGCCATTCTTAAAGATGGGGTAAGTGGCCAGATGGATCCCTGCTGTGATCATAGTTAAGCTCATTGTAAAAGCAGTTAGCTATGTGGACAAGAAATGAGGAAGAAGTAGTCAGAATTTGCATCTTGAATGCAGAACATTTATCTCAAAAGCAAAATAGTCTTACAGCAGTGAATAGATGCACTCAAAGCCAAGTCTCAGAACTTTCAAAATTTTTCCTGCTATTTAGCATTGCTGAATATGTTTCAGTTGTTTTTTGTTTGTTCTTAATTTAAAGTAATGTAGATTGAGAGGGACCTTTAGAAATCAAGTGGTTCAAAAGTGGAGAAAATTTAAATTAGGTTGCTCAGAATCTTGTTCAGTCAAGTACTGAGTTTCTCTGAGGGTGGAGATTCAGTAACTCTCCCCAAGCAACCCATCCCAACTGCGTTTTGGTTTATTTCTGCCACTTACCTAATTGGAATGTCTTGTGTAGTAACTTACCTCTGCCATCTCTCATCATTTCATGATAAGCTTCCAGGAACAGGACAAATCCAAATTCAGTTGAACTTTGTCTTTCTCCTTCATCCTTCCTACACATCCCTTTAGAATACCTTAGTCAAGACTTCACTGTTGTGATAAGGAGATCTGCTGCACTTGTTTCACTGTGCAGAGTGTAGCATGTAATTCTTGTGCTTTGAAGAAAATATCCTTAAAGATCAAAGCTGCTGTTCTGTGGGCTGCTTTTCCCTTTGAGACAATCTCTCCAGGGTTCCTGCCAAGCAAATCTCTGAACACGCTGGGTCTGTTGACTCAAAGTCCAGGAATTCATCCTCCTGCTTATCCTGCTTACTGGTCCCAGGGTCTTACAGACTTACAGAATCTAATGGGCTCTGTTACAGACAGCTTACAATTGCTGTATGCATGACTAGTTTTCCCTCAAGAGTAACAAGTTATGTACTCAGATGTCATCACATACAATCTACAAACCTCTAAGGATTTTATACTGAAGAAATGTACACCATCAGTAGCTATCAAGTAGTCCTCCAGCTGTACGCACAACTACATTTTACAGTCTTGTCTTGCTACACATACTCCTGATTCACTTGTATTCAAGAAGCTACAAGCACTTCTCAGTCTATAGTATATGGAAATTCAGGTACTTTAATCTTACAGGCTATAAAAAAGCTGTGGTGGTATGATCTGTTGCTGTTAGAAGTTATGCTTTGAGTGAGTAGTTGCCTAGATCATCCCCAGAGGTCCTTTCCATTCAGTGTTTCCTAGATTCTGAGATTGAGACTTTATGTTTTAAGGAATTCTGTTACCAGTTATGGTCTCATTTAAAGAAGGGTCACAATATCTATTGTCACATGAAGGAGATCTTACAAAGTATGAGGTAACCAGATAAAGTGGTGTATAGAATATGAAGCTCTTACAGTCACTTTCTATCATCTCCAAATTGCTGAAAAAAATTAAATGGAAAATGGTTTCTATATTCAAGTTTTTAATTGGCTGCCAAACAAGTTACAAGCAGTGCAGAATTAACATATTTTAAAGCTAATTTTGCTCAATTTCCTTTCCATAAACTATGTACAATGTAGTTCTATGAGATAGTTGCAATATCTGTGTTCAGTTTAATAAGTTGTTTCATGTAGCCTTCTGGATCAATTTGAAATGATGTGATTGTCATTGAAGGTTTTATATTCATCAAAAAATGTCAATAAATAAACATTTAAAGATTTAAGCATCCAAATCCATAGGAAGAAAATCTTGCTGTGTTTCTTTTGAGTGGCACTGTTCACTGTCTTATAATAATCCCTAAAAATGAATTTAGATTCCAAACTTCAGACTTCTACTAGGATATATTTGACCTTTCTCGTCTTTGTTGTATTAATTACTGTATTGTGTTCATACTCAATGAAAAGATGGATCTTTGTCATTCAGTTACATGATGGTTTGATTTTATAGGTATGTTAGTATCTTTAAAACATCAGGCAATGTTTCAGCTCTTCGGACTTTCAGAGTACTGAGGACTTTGAAGGCTATTTCAGTAATACCGGGTAAGGAGCAACATGTATTACTAATCATCTTTTTACTTCAACAGAGATTCACTAATTCCTCTCCTTTTCATAGAATCATAGAATAACCAAGGTTGAAAAAGACCTAAGATCATTCAGTCCAACTGCCCATCTATTACCAATACTTCCCATTAAACCACATCCCTCAATACAACATCTAAACATTTTTTGAACACTTCCAGGGTTATGTTGTCTGGTCACTTTGTGTCAGTTAACATGGGCCCAAGGTGTGACTGTTTTGCACTGTATAGTAAGTAACATTCGGCAGTATGCTAACAGAATGTTTTATCATCCCTACTCTAAGTGATTTTACCCCAGGAAGATTTTTCTATTTCTCCTCTTTCTATACCATCATCACTGATGCTCACTGTTATTTACTTATGTCTTTTCTGAACAGTGCACCCTATCCAGTTTTTTCTCTTAACATAATAATTGCTATAATAGCATATTCCTGGTTTGTGTTATGCTTCACTAGCTTAAGCTGCTATAATTAGTTTCCTAGAATGTTGGCTTCACAAAATTTAGAGTGTTATTTCATAAGAGGTTGTTTAGCCAGCATCTTAAACTAGATGATACCTTAAGCTTTAATATTCAAGCTAGCAAAATCAGTTTTAATAATGATCAGGAAGTTTAAGTAAAAAATTACATTGCTCATCATTATTTACCTTAATACTGTGAAGCTATAAGATCATTTACACTGATTTGTTTCTAACATACTCAAAACTATTCTGTGCTATCATACAGCAATGTTGTTACATTCTTCTCATGATGCATATTATTGAATCTTATTTTTCTAGGTCTGAAAGTCATCGTGAACTCACTTATTGAATCTGTTAAGAAACTTACTGATGTGTTGATCTTGACTGTTTTTTGCTTGAGTATATTTGCTCTAATAGGCCTGCAGCTTTTTATGGGCAATTTAAAATACAAGTGCATACTCACAAATACTCCATACAATGACACATTTTGTAAGGATGCCAAGATATATAATGCAAGTGAAACAGGTAAGTTTTATTACTGTCTCCTTTTATGTCATCTGTATATCTTCCTACATCTCACTTGCTTCTAACACAAATGTTACAAAACAGTTGTATGTTTTTCCTATGAGAAGATATTTGTACAAGTAGCAATATGAAATCTCTGGGACAGCTAAATGTAAGATTAATGAGCCTAGTATTTAAGAAAAGATCAGCAGTCTGGGTAATAGCATAGGCTACACTTTCTGTAAGCACCTATATGATCAATGAATATACAGATGTTACAATTAAGAAATAGGCAAGAAAGTTAGGCTAAATAGGTTATCACTCTAAAGACAACTAGATGGAAAGCTTACCTATGTCCTGGGCTCACTGAGAAGACTCCAAGAGGAGCAATCCCCAAAAGAGATCCTTCCCTAGTGCTAGTCAGCTCTTAAATGGGGTCTAGGAGAGGTACAGCCGGGCTCCACTCCTTTGGGTAGCACAGGAGAATTGTCTTCACCTGTGCTCCCAGGGCTGACTCATTGCTTGCCTCAGGTGGTCAATCAGAGGATCAGGCTGTGATTCAGCAGTTCTAATATACTACCTTACCTCTTTAGTTATGCGTGTTGCATGGGGATCCTTTTTTTAAGGGAACTGTGCTCAAATTGAATTTATTTTAATATAGACTGTGTTGTTCAGGGATTTTGACTACCTCTTCTACCTGTATTTACAAAAATGAATAAAGTCTTACAATAAATAAATTTTCAAAAAGAAAAAAAAAGAAATTGCCATACCTAGGGATGGATCTGGAGAGACACAATCCTAATATGACTTTCACTGAGATTTTGTATATTAGGCCATCATTTATAGTGCAGTAATGTATGGCTTACTATGTGTGGTAGGAACTGAGTATGTGAATAGCCACTTGAACCTGGAAAAGTTTAAGGCAACAACTTCTGAGTTAAAGATTCCTTTTTTTAATTATTATTACTTATTAGATATCTGTGCCAGAATGAATGGAACTTCTGACATACTGCTCTGTGGTTACAATGGGAATTCTACGTAAGTGAAAAAAGAGTTTCAGTACTTTCTTGTTTTTTCCTCTGAATGGATTTTGGGTTTATTTTTGGCGTGAGGAAATACTGATGATTTTTCAGAAAGACAGATTTTTTCCTTAATTCTTAATTTTATCATTTTTTTCTTATTTTTTTTTCATAATATTTAATCTCAGAGAACAAATGAATGGCAATACTAGAATGTCCACAGTTACAGATGTGCTTTATTGCTGACTGCTGGTAATATAATTGGTAGTGTAGAATATGAAAAATAGGAGGGGACCAGATCAGTAAAGAATGTGAGGTATTAACAAGCTCTCTTCATCCTGGTGGATTGTTTAAATGTAAGCATAGTTCTATGTTTTCCCCCTTTATGTATATCTTTGTATGTATCCCACTCGAGAGAAGAGTTTCTGTCTAGTCAAGACTGTACCACAAATCTGTGACAAGTCAAATGATTTTGAACTAAATCAGTTCTTCTAGAATTGCAGAATGGCTTGAGTTGGAAGGAAACTTTAAAGACATTGAGTTCCAACCCTCCTACCCTGTTCTGTTTGTGCCCTACTGGATCAGACTGCCCAGGGCTCTATCCAGCCTGGCCTTGGCACCTCCAGGGATGGAGCATCCACGCTTTCTCTGGGCAGCCTGGTCTGGTGGTTGGCTACCCTGCCTATGGCAGGGGGGTTGAAACTAGATCTTTGAGGTCCTTTTCAACCCAGGCCATTCTATGATCAACGAAACTGGAGTTTCAGATGAGCTGAACAAATCTGTACATGGTATTGTGAACTAGAGTGCATTACAGTATATTCTAATACTGCAAGTGTAAATATTGTTCTCTTTATTTAGAGATGAGTGCCCTGAAAACTACACATGTTTGAAACATGGGAACAATCCTGACTTTGGCTACACAAGTTTTGATCATTTTGGCTGGGCCTTCCTTTCTTTGTTCCGTCTGATGACACAGGATTCCTGGGAGCGTCTGTACAGACAAGTAGGTACTTTCATTACCTGCTACGTTGACTTTAGTTCAGAGTTCTAGTTCAGAGGTTTAGTTCAGTAGAAAAATCTGCACCTATTTTAACATTACTGATAGAAAACTTGTTTTAGAACTAATATTAAGGAAGAAGCTTCAGTTGGCTAAGTTGTAACACTTTCTGCAAGTGACCTAAATGGCAGCATTCTTAACATGAGTGCTCATAGTTTTGTTGGAGAACACGCTTAGAACAGTGAGCAGTAAATAAGTATTTTAATCATGGCACTAGCAAAGGATTGGGGATGTATTATAGGTCCAGCTAGTGCGTTCCCTACTGCTGAAGGAGCTGTGAGGACTTGCATACTCTCTTTTTCTCTAAATCCTGACTCCTCATCAAACCTTTTGGCTCAGAACAAATACACTTAGATTTCAGAGAGTATTTTGATAACTGGTACTAAAAAAAAAAAACGCAGCCTTTTATGTTTTATTTGTAACTTTTAAGGTCTGGATTGTTTTGTTTTGTTTTGTTTTTAACATAAACCATACAGAAATTGTATGCAGAGATCTTTCTGGATCTATTATACCTATAAATGTCTGTGCTAGAAGAGAATTATCTTCTGCCTTGTTCTGTAGTTTTTGTATGCTTCACTTTAACATCTCTTCAGCAATTTCTATTGAATTTTTTTTTTAATGGATACATCTGCAGATGACACCAACTTGGGTAGGACTGTTGATCTGCCTCATGGTAGGAAGGCTCTGCAGAAGAGATCTGGGTAGGCTGGATTGATGGGTTGCACCGAGTCTCATGACATTCAACAAGATCCAGTGCCAAGTTCTACACTTTGATCACAACAACTCCATTTTGTAATATGGGCTTGAGAAGGGTGGCTGGAAAGCTTCCAAGTACATATCTCCAAGCATATGGAGATGCCGGTAAACAGCCAGCTGAACACAAGCCAGAAGTGTGCCCAGATGGCCAAGAGGCCAGTGGCATTCTGGTTTGCATCAAAAAGAGTGCAACCAGCAGGAGCAGGAGTTGGTCGTGCCTTTGTACTGGCACTGGTGAGGCTGCACCTCAGGCTTTGGGCCTCTCACTACAAGAAGGATACTGGGTTACTCAAGCATGTCCAGGGAAGAGCAAGAAAGTTGTTGATGGTACAAAGATAGAAAACAAGGCTTAAGAGGAGCGGCTGGGGGAACTGGGCTTGTTTACTGTGAAGAAAAAGGTGGCCTTATCACTCTCTACAAGTCTCTGAAATGAGGTTGTAGCGAGGTAGGGGTTGTTCTCTTTTCTAAATGGCAAGTGCTAGGGTATGAGACTACAGCCTCAAGTTGCACTAGGGCAGGTTTAAACTGGATATCAGGAAGAATTTCTTCATAAAAAGGATTGTCAAGCATTGGAATGGGCTGCCCAGTGAAATGGTGGATTCCCTGTCCCTGGAGGTATTTAGGACACTCGAATGTTGCTGTTGGGGACACAGTGGATGTGTAAAATTGGGTGGATGGTAGTACTAGATGATCTTGAAGGTCTTTTCCAACCTAAACAGTTGTGTATTCTTTCTGCCTTTTCAAGGTCATGTGGTTTTTGTTTTCTAATGTCTCAGAGATTTTTTAACTATCTTTTCCATTGCTATTTAAAAAAAAGTAAGAGTAAGCACTCTAATTATTGCCTCTTATTAACTAATGATAGCGTATTTTCGAATTTTTAATTAATTCTAGCTTGCCTTCTTGTTATTTTCAGTAATTTCTTCTGTAGTCACCCGTATATCACTTTACAGCTGAAGTTGCCTTATCATAACTTAAACTCTGATCATTTGCCTGATTTTGTTGAGAATTACTTCATTTAATTTTAATAAAAAATTGTGTTCATTCTTCTTCTGAGCCATATAGAGCATCCTTATGAATGCTTGAATAGAAATACATTGTATTATCAGAGTTTTTAAGATCTACAATTTATTTACTTGAGGCCATATGGACTCCTGATTAGACGTATTCCTAGACCCTCTGCATAACCTAGACCAGAGGTAGATCCAGCTATTCTGTCAAGAAACAGTGCAGTATCTTGACCTCTTGCATTGTATAGGAAAATAAGTTGCTAATTTGTAATCCTACTGCAAATGTTTGTATTTTAAGAATCTGTTATGACCTTTCCTTTTTTTCTCATAGACAATCCGTTCATCTGGGAAGAGCTACATTTTATTTTTTATAGCTGTCATCTTTTTATGCTCATTTTATCTCTTCAACCTGATATTGGCTGTAGTAACGATGGCATATGAAGAGCAGAACAGAGCTACTCTTGCTGAAACACAGGCAAAGGAAAAATTACTTCAGGATGCTAAGAAAATTTTAGAGAAAGAACAGGTTTGTAAATTGTTGTATATAATACAGAATAAAAGATATATTTTTTCTTATATCCTTGGATATAACAAACTCTCTTTTCTATTACTGCATAGTCTGACAAATGAAGTACAGGTAGAGATACAAGCATCCATGAGGAAAGTTGACATTTCTTTAATTTCCTGAGATTGATTTTGGAATGCAGATGGATTTCAGGATTGTGTAAGAATACCCACTTTCTGAGAGCCACTGTGTTCAGCTGAGCTCTTTTTGAATGATTGCACACAGAATGTCTACCAGTTGACAAGAGCAGGATAGACGGTCTTTGCCAGGCTAGTACCATCAGTTCCATGTTCATGTAAAGGGCATCCAGAAACTGCATTAGTTTCTTTGCTGTTGGTTTTGACACGCTACCGATTTAAATTTTCCTCTTCTTCTTGGCATAGTATTGCCTAGATTCTTTAATTTCCTGGCTCGTAGCGACTTGGGACCTTGTTTTATTTTATTCCTGACAAGTTAAGCTCTCAGCTGAAGCAAAAATACAGATTGAAAATCATTGGTAAGGTATCATTTATCCTCTGAATTTAATGAAAGATACCTCTAATTTGCAGCTAGCAATCAAAAAAGTCAGACTTGTCAGAGGACTTAAAAATTTTCCATAGCAACTGTCCCATTTTATTGTTAAGATGAAAAGCATCACTACTGTACCGAATTTCTTCTACAGAGCTGTGGATAAGCCTGTGCTATTTATATGACTGAAATTTGAGCTTTCCAAGTTTACTTAGTAAAGAAAGATTTAATATTTTAGGATGTAGTTTGAACCCTGATTCTTCTGTTGTCATTATGCTCAAGGTCTGAAGTGAGAAAAGGGAGAGTAAAACAATACGCCTTAATATTCTGTAATTCAGATATGGAATACAACAGCTAAAGTGACAGGGACAAGCTTAAATTATGGTAGCTGAGAACTAACCCTGCTTTTATCTTTTCAGTCTTAAGAATACAGAATGCAACTCAAACCCCTTTACAGTAGTTTGGTATCCAAAAGGTAAAAATTGTTAATGAAGAACATGTAGACATGTAATAATTGATATGAGGAGGCACTGAGTGGCATTGAGGGACGTGGTTTAATGGGCATGGTAGTTGATGGTTGGACTTGGTGATCTTGGTGGTCTTTTCCAACTGTGATGATTCTATGATTCTGTGCTAATTATACAGTGTATGATCCTAGTCTGTTTATTTGTCTTGTATTAATAGACATACTTTTTGTTGCTTCATTTCCAGATGTTGTCTTCTGGAGAGAGTAATAAAGCCTCCCATGTTGAATCTGAAATGTCAGTTGCTGGCTTAGGAAAATCACAAGAAAAAGAGATGGGTGGAGAAAAGCCTGTTTCAAGACAAAGTTTAATTGTGGGTGATCAAAATAATGAAGAAAGTATGTTTCGTTCACAGCCTGATCATTGCCACAAGAAGCTGGTAAGTTATTCAAAATACAGGATATATTCATTAGACTTGCATGTGATATGGCTGTTTGAGCAGAAAGTCTTTCCTTACTTTCCTTCATTTAGAGATTTATCAATATTATAAATATTGCAGAAAGAAACATTAGAGAAGGGACCCCTGCAATTCTGTGATTCTGTAATCCACAACTCTAAGACAGTGCCAGTTTGTTTCATGTTAATGCAACCTAATGGTCCTGCAACCTCTGCTAAAACTGAGGACTCTTCAATATATACTTTGTTAATTGTAAGAAAAGGCTAAAGATGCCAAAACAAAGAGAAAAAAGTGGATCAGGTAGAAAACTTCAGAAAAGAACATCATCATTCCATAATTCCATAAGAACTGGAAGGATCATCTTTCTAGAACCTTTTCCTGTTTTAAATACTAGTTTATCAGAGGTCTTCCCATAACCAGGTGTTTAATTTGGTTAAAAGGAGAAGAGCAATGGTAAACAGCTTAGTTTTGATGGATGTTCTTAACCTTCCTAAAGACTTAGCTCTGGGAATTTGTGAACAGACAGGAATTTCAGAAACAGAGACTTTGGAAACTTTATTCAGGAAAGCACATGAATTTTAGAGGTTTCTCAATATTACAAATATTGCAGAAAGGAACATTACAGGAGGGACCAAATATTACAGAAAGAAATGAAAGGACAAGTTGCCCTGGTAACTCGGATATGACTAAAATGATCTAATTGGGTTTTTTAGATTCTGAAAAAACAGAGACTGAAAGAACATTTTAGCACTCTATTACAAATTAATTTCACACGTCTATTTTATGACTGTTCTATCAGCTAAGTTTTGCTTAGCTTTGAAGTCATTAAAATACCAAAGAACAAAAAAGAAATTAATTAATATTAAACTGCTAGGGCTAAGGATATCAGTTTAATTCTCTTAATAATAGTTTTATGGAATATGTTGTAAGAATCTTCTTACGGTGAAAGTCTGAAGTGATGATATTGCATATCTTTGGTTGCATATCCTCCTCTTAAAGGAAGTTACCTGAATTGTTGTGCAGAAAATGATCACTAACACTGTGTATTGTGATCTGGTCAGTCAGTAACTCTTTACTAGCTGATAGCTCTAATTCCATCCTACCTAATGCTGGAATCTTCCTTCTTTCTGGTTTTGTCTACCTCAAAGATTGCCACCTATTCTTTATAACCTGTTTTACAACAGTGTAATCTTTAAAGATTGCATATGCACTGGGGGTATGTGTACGTAGTTTATGTGTCAGGAATATAATCTTTCTCTGTAATTAGTATTTTGTAAGATGCAGGTATTGGCCTGGCTGTTTCTCAGTGTGTATCAGGAACACTGAGGTCAGCATTCTGTAACTTCTCATGAAAACTGAAGTTGTCCCATTCCTAGCTTTAAGCAGTTTGATGTTCTTGATAGGCTTAAAGTGGATGAGGAAACCAATAATTCTCACTGACTAAATAGCTATTATTAACATTAATTAATGTTTGTCATTTATTAGAAATAGTTTAATAACCAGTTATTCAAACTGATCTTTGGTCGTCTTTTTGTGTGTTCCTATTATCTGTCTCAAGAAAGTTTGGAATTATTCTTTTTTCCCTTGCTCTCCTGTTAAGGTTTCTTACTTTATATGATTATATGCATTTTATAATGGCAAAATTATTCTTAGCTAGATTTTATTTTCAGAAGGAAACAAGTATTAGCATTTTTAATGACATGTCCTTGTGTTCACATGATATTTTCTTGTTTTGTCTTATATTCCATTCCTTCAGCAAGGTAAGGCTTCATTAGAGTGTATATTTAAAACAAATTTTAAATACTTTAACTGTACATTTATACTATGCTGTGAATAATTTTACATTTGCAAACATTTATTCATATTCTCTTGTTATACTGTTTTTGTTGTCTTTCTAACCAAAGAGGCAGATCCTATTGTCTTATGAGTTGTCAATGGACTCTATTAATGATCCCTATCGGAGACAGAGGTTGATGAGTGCAGCCACTGTTATTACAGATAACATGAGTAAGTCATTAATTCTTCAGCATTTTTTTCAACTCTGATTGTGTACCTTGACCAAAGAGGACAAAATATCATGAGCAATCGTTTAATATTGTTTAATATTCAGTAGGGGAAATTAAAATGTAAGTTTCAATGAAATTAATATTCTCAGATCTCACATAACTGCAACTGTAACTTGAAACTGCCAAGGCTAAATCACACCTGATTGCTCTGCACAATACAGTCACTCAGATTTGTGGCTGAGAGGAGAGCAATGTTGTCACTTTACTGTCTTTAGTAAGGCTTTCCACAGTATTTTTGTATCCCTGTTGGGATGTTAAGGTCTGCATAGGTGAGCAGCCAGCTGATCAGAGAACTGGCTGGATTCTTGGGCTTTGAGAGTCTGGAGGGCATGATGTATTCTGCTTTGGCTTAGGTAAGCAAATAGAGTACCACGGAGTTGTAGCTTAGGATCCTTTCTGTTCTACTGTTTTCATCAGTGACCTGGAGGAGGCAATAGAGTACTTGCTCTTAAAATTCACAGATGACACCAAACTGGGGGAGACTTGTTGATACAGGCAGGGTAAGGGACCTAGGCAGACTGATGAAACAGGCCAACAAAAACCTTACAAAAATTCAACAAGGACAGACTTCTACATAAATGCAAGAATCTTTTGCAACAGTATAAACTGGAAGCTAGCTGATTGCCTGAGAAGCAGCTCTGCAGAACAAGCCCTTGGAGTCCTTTTGGGCAGCAAGCTGAGCATGAGTTCAGCAGGGGTGGCTAACAGCGTTCTGAACTGTATTAAAGGAAGCACAGCCAGGAGACTGAGAAGAATGATTATTACCCTTAATTAAACACTTCTTAGACAACATACTGTACCCAGTTTTAGTTCCCTCCCTTATAGGGAATACCTTGGAGAACTAGCTTATGTTCAGCAGAGTGCCACTAAGACAGCTAAGGACTGGAACACTTGCTGAGCTGATTCAGCATGAGGAAGAGAAGATTTAAAGGGAAAGTTATTATCAGTTTTCAAGAATGTGGGACAGTGTTTTGAAGAAGATGGCAGTGGGCTCTTGTCTGCATCTGTGACCATGAGGGTACAACTGACAGAAAACAATTTGTATGTTTTCCCAAATACAGCAAGTTTTTTCTCCTTAGAGCAGGTATGTTCTCATCTCCCAGGATAATGACAATATGAACAGGTGAGTAATATCACCTGTTTCTGTAATCATGTAATTTGTTGCTTATGACCTTTAATTAGCCTGTGAGTAGGCGGTGTATAAAGTAAATATCAGTGTTGGTCTTTTTCTTCATATTGTGAGATTATTTGTATGTCACTTTTATCATTTAGAGAAGCAAAATTCGAAGGCGAGATTCGCTTCAGTTTGGAAACGTCTTGGTCAGAAGTATCTGATTTGGAACTGTTGCCCATTCTGGAGAGCAGTCAAAGGGAAGGTGCAATTGATAGCTTTGGATCCACTTGTCGATTTCATAATCATGATTTCCATTATAGTGAACACTTTTTTCATGGCTCTGGAACACCCAGGCATGTATGCTTCTGAAAAAAGATTGATTTGTATAAGTGACAAGGTAAGTTAGGTCACCCACAGATCAAGAATGGAGTTATAGCTCCAGACTGACTGGATCAGTCTCATAAAGAGACATACATTTTCAGTGACTTTATGGTGAATTTCTTTTTCCAGGTTTTCACCGTGATTTTTACAGCAGAAATGGTCTTGAAAATCATCGCCCTAGATCCATACTACTACTTTCAGCAAAAATGGAATATTTTTGATAGTATAGTTGTGATGATTGGCCTAATAAGCTTTCATGAAAATCTGACATTTTTCAGGCTGGTAATTATGTTTGCATTCTTTTTTAGAAGTACTTGCATTGTATAGATTTGTGAAAACATTACAGTGGAAATACCCTCAAATCATTTTATTGTTTTCTTTGTAAGCAAATAATAAGCTAGCATGAATGTTAAATTGGAATGAATATTAGATGCGTGGCAAAGAATGTATGTAATATTATATTGTGTATATGGGATACTACAAATACTCTGGCAGTGCTCCCCCTTAGAGATTTGATTTAGCAGTGAGTTCACCACTTCTCTGTTAGGTTCATAGAGTGTCATTGATCAACTACATTTTACATTTTCAGATAAGAAAAATGCATTATCTGAGCTTAAAGATAGCAAAGGTACCTTCACTACATGTCTTTTCCTAGATACAATATGGCTTTTCTCAAATAACATGGCTTTTCTCAAGGCTTAGATTTAGGAACTGGCTTTCCAGTTTCTTAGATAAAGGGCTATCTCTCAGATATCTATGTATAATGTCATTTTTTATTATTATTATTTTTTTTTTACTACACCCTTGCTGTGAATTCAGAATTATATCTGAACTTGCGTAGAATACTTTTGGATCTGAGCAGCTAAAAACCTTTATGTGGGGGGATGAATTATGGTGGGTGATGTTGAATTTGGCAGTAAAGGCAGCATGATAAACGCAGGATCTGTTTTTGGGTTTGTGTTGTGCTGTTTGTGCACTGTTCTGCCACTCATTTTTCCCTTTTGTTTTACTTGCAGCTCAGGATCTTCAAATTGGCAAAGATGTGGCCAGCCTTAAATACTCTTATGAAAATAATTCTAAACTCAGTTGGTGCACTGGGTAACCTCACTCTGGTTTTGATTATCACTGTATTTATTTTTGCTGTAGTAGGAAAGCAGGTTCTGGGCAAATGTTACGATGCTAACTTCCATAAAATAAGTACTACCAAGAACTTACGCTGGCATATGAAGGATTTTTATCATTCATTCCTGGTCATATTTCGAATACTATGTGGAGAATGGATTGAAACCATGTGGGAATGTATGGAAGTGGCTGGACAAGCGCTGTGTCTTCCCATTTTCTTGCTAGTCCTGGTGATAGGAAACTTAGTGGTGAGTTTCAAGCTGTTTTTCATCCCTACTGAACCAAGTTACATGGGCATCTTTTTCCCATGGGTAAACATTATCATTTGAAGAGTACTCCTACATTTCAGTTTTCTGGATGTTAGCTGGTTTCTATGGTTTTTATTTTCTATTTTTCATTTCTTTCCATGTCTTTCTCACACAAGAAGTAGCCAATAACTAAAATACACAAAATGATTCATTCTAATAAGAGCACAGACATGCAGCACTTTCCATAATTCAGTGGTAATTTGCTTCCTTCATCTTTTGTGCTGCTAAGGTCAAACAACAGAACTGCTTTTAATGCTTATCAACTTACCCTTAAAGCTCAAAAGGCTACAGTTCCCAGATTTTCTAGACTGCATGATTTAGACTCATTTTAATCTATGAGTTAGATTTTTCTTCCCATTTGTCCATCTTGCATAAAGCTAAAACTTTCTGCATCTTTGCATACCTTTTTAGAAGCATAATACATAAGTATATGCTTTGGTAAAACACTCCATTACAGTGAGCATTCATTCTCATTCTGTTACTCACTGGAAGAAGAAATTTTGTTCATACACTCAATTTGATAACAGTGGTTGATGAAAGAGAGATTTTTATTTATTTATTTGCCTAAGGAGGGTTTTCTGATCTTTTTGTTTACTTATTTATTTCTGTTAGAAGTAGTAGTGTCTTCAGCTTACTTTATTTCCTTCAAGGTGCTCAACCTATTCATTGCCCTGCTGCTGAGTTCTTTCAATACTGACTCCTCACTGGGACAAGGGGAAGCTGAAAAACAGAGTAAATGTGAGATTGCCATTGCACGGATTCGTAAGGGCCTACAGTCTGTGAAATTGAGAATTTTGGATAAATGTGGCAAAACGATGGAACGAAGCAACAAAACAACAGCCAAGAAGAAGACTTTGGTGAAAAGTTCTTTCAAAGACTTAGAGAAAAATAACTATGCTATGACAGATGTCGGAAAGGATATGGACAACAGTTGCTTTGACATTGGATGTTATAATGAAGAGAGTTCTTCAGTAGAAAGGAAATATGAAGACTCTTTAAACTACCATAGTAGCCACATTCCCCTTGCAGTACCAGAAACTTATACCGATGAAGGTGATGATGAGCAGTGTGTATACACAGAAAGAGAATACAGAAAATGGGTAAGAAATATTAATGATAGAAAATGTACTGTAACTTGCATCTGCAAATTCAGTCTTTAAGGTGGTGTTGTAAATGTTATTTCTTCTGTCATTTCCACAGTTTTTCTTTTTGTTCTTCTAGTAGCTTCAAAATGCGAGAGCTATTAAGCAATCTCAGTTATTCAGCAGGAGAAGTTGGATATCTACTTTTTCATTATTTTCCTCAGTGGTTAGCTGTAAATCTCTTTATAGCTATTTTATTTCATTTTATTATTGTCAATTGCTAAGTGAAGTTTTATGAAGACAGACATTCTTCTTTTTTCTCCTTTGCCTTATTAATAGCATCTGGATATTTTGGAAGACAGGTCTCTAGTTGTAGTGCTCATATATTGCTTCTCAGTTGTATGGAAGCCAAAACAAATGCAAATAAGAGCTTCACTATAAAAACAAACAAACAAAAGACCAAACCAACATTTATGAGTTTGAGGTTTTTTGATCCCTTGTTCTCCTCTGTGATATTTTAAATTCTCTTTTGCATATCATAATTTTGTTGCAAAGGGCAGGAATGAGCTTAAATGCAGATACCTAAATGCATATAACTTCTCTGCAGTCTTTTGCCAAAAGGTGAACCAAAAGAAACATTGCAAAACCTCGGACACTTTGCGTGAAGGATGTACCAATAGAAACTGGCTAAGGCTGTGAAAGAAAGAACTTCTTTGAAAGTTATTTGCATAAAGTAAGGTAGAAAGCATCTTAGAGTAGCTTATGATCCTTGGGCTCAAAATGCAGTAACTTAGCATTATGCCATGGCAAAAATATGAAGAGCAGGTGCTGATCTTGCTTAGATTGTTATATGATCAGTGTCTAGGTGGACTTCTAGAATTCATTTCCTATATTTTTGATCACAAGAGGAGACATTGTCTTATATTTGGGCAAATTTTCAAAGAAGCAGAAATTGTTGATTGCCTTAGAGTCATCTTTGACAATTTGAAATATGTTTTGGATTGGATTATGGGTTATTTTACATGTTATGTACTGTCTTCATTTTACATCAATAAGAGGGCTGAAAGCTGTTAGGGATCACTGAGCTCTTCTGTCTCCAGCCAGAAAGAGGAGTCTACTGGGATGCAGCTGCAGAGATTGCAGCTGAGCCACTACAGTGGATACAGAAACCCATCACTGGGATAAATGTACATCTCGAGAAATGATACACTTTCACAGTATAACCACAGGACCAAAGTGTTTGACTTGAGGAAAAAACACTTTTTACATACCTTCAATAGGTATTATATAATTCTCTATAAAAAGACAGACATGCTTAATTTTGTGGATGCTTTATATTCTGTTAAATATTTATTCCTTCAAGAACGACTCTCAGGAAGAAAAGGGTGGCAAATCAATTGTTTTGCATTACTTCATTTAGGAAGACAGGTTGAGACACAGAGAACAATGCCGAAACTCAAGTCGTCTGAGTGAGATTTCTTGGACTTCAGAAATGTACAAAAAGAAAGAGCAAGAAGAGGTATTTGTAGCAGTTACTATCTTTTGGAGTGTTCTAGGGATTAATATTTTCATTCTGATTCAGCAATAACAGAACAAGCATTTTCCAAAGTCTTAATTGCACAAAAGGTGGTGCTTTGTGACAGAAATTTATAACATAAATCATAGAATTGTAAAGGTTAGCAAGACCACTAAGGTCATCTAGACCAACTGTCAACCCATCACCACCATGCCCACTAAAACATGGGGCTTTGTGTCTCATGAACAGCCATTGCTGACTGTGTAACTAAATATATTACTTTCTACAAGTGAACAGAAATTAAGCAAGGAGCACTCTTTAAATTCAGTTGATATACTCATCAGGTAACTGTTTGCTATCATCCTTCAGTGTAAAAGTTTATTCTCTAAAAGGGGTTCACCCAAGTAGCTTCTGATCTAGAAGCTTTAGCTTTTAGCTTAGCTAACACAGTGTAGTTCCACATGAATTAAAAAAAAAAAAAAAAAAAAAAGCAAAAAAAGGTGAATATTTGTATCTTACCACCCAAAAACAAAATGGGAATTCAGTAATTCTGGATCATTACCTCCAGAAATCCAAGCACTTTAAGATTTGCTGGTTTTAGATAAAATTCCCTGGACTTTTATTTGGTGTAAATTACTTAATTATATAAATGTAAATACCTGGTATTGAAAGTAGTACAATTCCTGTGGGTTTAAATCATTACATTTTTGACTACGTCAGTGAACTTAAGTTAGTGTAGACCATCATGGCTGTCAAAAGAGACAGTCCTCCCTTTTCCTGGCTTCTTATTCCTGTACCTGTCCCTATGCCTTGCCTTCAGATAGGGCACTTACGCTTTTGGGCTGATTTATGCTTGTTTTCCATAACGACTTCAGTTTTATTTATTCCTTTATTTGAAGGAGAGGGGGATTTTATTTATTTCAAATGTGCTTTAAATGTCTTTATTAAGGAAAAAACAAATAAATTCTCTTCTTTCCCTTCTTCTCTGCAGGGATTTGATGTTGGTAGCTATTCTGAAGCCAGCACTGTGGACCCAGTCACTCTTATAGAGCTGTATCCCCTGCCTAAAAAAACACATGTACCTAAGGACTGTTGCACAGAAAGTAAGTATATCTTATGTATCACAGGGATACCAAATGAACTCGTATTCTAAAGATATCTGTTTAGAATGTTTCCAGATTGGCAGATGTCATTCTCCTGAGCAATTTGAACAAATAAAAAGTCAAATAAATATAGCCAGAGCCAGCACACCACTGGAGCAGGACTGAGATGCCTGAACACAAGCATTTAGTTCTGTATGGAATGCCCGAGAGTACCCATGATAACTGCATAGAGCTGGCAGAAATGACACAGGCATTATAGGGTACCCCAGTGAGCTTAAAATGGATCTAAACACCTGTGTTTAGGCTGTGAAATGCTGTCTTTGGAGTGTGATTCATGCTTAGATTTTGACACCAGGCTGTAGTCAAGTATATGTGAGTGAGGGCATTTAAAGCACTTCTGAAGGGGCAGATGGGGGTCAGCCAGGATATACATCTTGACTTCTGGTATCTGAAGTGGCATTTCAACTAAATCTGTCTGAAATCTCAGTGCAGTGGGTGAATATCCAGTCAGTGCATCCAATGGAATTTAATAGACTGTACGGTTTATCCCAGTGGACATCTATATTTAATTGCCTCAGCAGCTCCTTAGACTGAGTGGACTGTCATGTTTCAATCATGTTGCCTTTGAAGATGAAAGAAGGGTGTGCAAAATAGTGAGCAGAAGCTTATTGCAATATCTGTGCAGAGCGATCAAGTGAAATGATGAATAAAAGTAATAATTTACTAAACCAGTAGTAACGTCATATCTCTGTTACAATAGTAAAAAGCATAAATGCAAGATAATAAAACCAGCAAGGGTTTTTCTATAGAGCAATGATGGCTTTTCATATAGAATGCTTGTGTGTTTGTATACACAAAGCTTTCTCTGCTTTTTCCATGTATGAAATACATTATAAAAAGGAGTTCTGTATGCCTACAGATCTTTTCTTCAGCTTAGATCATTCTGGCTACAGCAAGGTCACATGAGTGAAACAGCACATTCTTTGTGCACTCTTCATACTATTTTTACATTCTATGGCACCACATTTTCCATTAAGCTCATATGCTGTTTTTTTTCTTTTCAGGTTGTGTCAAACGTTTTCCTTGCTGCAGTGTGGATATCACTAAGTTTCCAGGCAGCACTTGGTGGAAATTTAGAAAAACCTGCTACAAAATTGTCAAACATAGCTGGTTTGAAAATTTTATCATTTTTATAATAGTATTGAGCAGTGCAGCACTGGTAAATTTCATTCAATTTCTCAAACTTTGAATGGAGGGTTGTCATCTGGTGGTAGTGGGAACAGGTGGATAGATCACTAAAAATACTGGCACAGGAGACATAAAGTGGAGATGGAGATAGTATGATAGAGAACTAAAGGATGAAAGGAAGTATGAAGACATTGCCAGAGGATTGGTGAGGAAATAATGCAGCTGTTAAAGGAATTGGAAATTGAGTGGCAATGTCAATAACTTATAATAAATCGGTAGAGCAGCAAATCTGTAAAAGGCAAATGAACAAGACAATGAAGTGATCACACAACAAAGCATTTTCCAAAACCCTTACTGACAGCAGGTAACGTCAGGGGTTTTGTGAGAAATTCGAAACTTTAGGAAGGAACAGATAAGGTGTGTGTTGTATTTTTTCAAACCTGTATTACAGCTCTGCAGATTGACTGAAAGTGGTGGCATCTTTGGAAGGTTTAGGCCTGAAAGCTATTGGTTAATGTGTTTAATTTAAAATTAGCTATGAGGGATTTCAGAGTTTAAAAATTATCTACTTATTTGGGAAGCTAAGATTTTTGGTAGCTATATTGGGCACTCATCAGATGCTTAATGAAGAAATCTAGAACAGAAATAACCCAAAGTTCTTCAACCAACTTGAAAATGATGTTGTTTATTATTTAGGTTTTTATTTCTACGTATAAAAATATGTTGCCAGTAACATAACATGAAATGGATAGAATAAACCAAACTGTATTCTTGTGCAATTCTAAAATAATTTACTGTAAAACTACTAAACAGCTTTAAAATGAATTCTGAAATTCCAGGCATTTGAAGATATTCACCTTGAGGAAAGAAAAACAATTAAAAAGCTCCTCGAGTATGCTGACATAGTATTCACTTACATCTTTATTATGGAGATGCTTCTGAAATGGGTAGCTTATGGTTTGCACAGTTATTTCACAAATACATGGTGTTGGCTTGACTTCATCATTGTGTGTGTAAGTATTATACTGAACATACATTTAGAATTTTGATTTTTTTCTATATCAAGAGCTACATGGAAAATTGGATTGGAATTAAACTTGATTGTAAAAAACAGTTTCAGGAAGCTGAAAAGAATTGCAATCAAATGCAACTGTAGGATAAATTTAAATGGAAATTGTAGGTGAAAATAAATTACTTAAAAGTGTTTTATGGAGTATTGCTGTTGTTGAGGACTATCTCAGTTACATAAATCTTCTCTGTTGTAAAGAGAGAGTGCAATTAGCAATCAGAAATGAAATTAAGATGAGTTAATTAAGATGATAGAAAAATGCAAAAGTGCTGGCAGCTCCATCATACAGAAACAGAAAAAAAGTAGAGTTGCTTATTTAAAAGAGAACAAATTTAGATGAATAAATCCTGGCAGTTATAGAATCATAGAATCACGGGGTTGGAAAGGACCTACAAGATCATCTTGTCCAACTGTCCTCCTATCACCATTACTACCCACTAAGCTACTAAACCATGTCTCGTAGCACCTCATCCAGATGCCTGTTGAATACTGTCAGGGTTGATGACTTTACCACCTCCCTGGGCAGGCCATTCCAGCTCCTGCCCACTTTTTGAGTGAAGAAGTTTTTCCTTTTGTCTAATTTAAATCTCCCCTGGTACAACTTGTGGCCATTTCCTTGGGTCCTGTTTGCTGTCTGGAAGAAGAGGCCAAACCTCTCTCTTCATCACAGCCTCCCTTCAGGCAGTTGTAGAGTGCAGTGAGGTCTCTGCTGAGCCTCCTCTTCTCCAGACTAAACAATCCCAGCCCAACTGTGAATATTCAGAAATTTCAACAGAAAAATCTAACTATGATTGTATAAAAAGAATGTAAAGCATGACTCTAGCAATTACAGATCAGCAATTTTCATGGCGAAGGTGACCAAAACAGTGGAGGAGCATGAAAGTACCGAGTGACTAGACAAGAAGATAACAGATTCAGATAGGAAGAAAAAGACAAATTATGAACAGTGGGGGAAAAAAAATAAACCCTAACTATTGAAAGATTTTTTCTAATGCTTTCAGCTCTGTTTCTGTCTTATGAGGATTTAAAATACAGACTGTCTATCTTTTGAAAAATACTTTTTTTTCTACAAAGGTTTGGACGTGAGATTAAATTACTAGATATGCTTCTGAGAACAATTATAAAGAATAGGAGAATCATTTATTTGAATAATACTTTCAAACCTTATATTCTGTGGAATTACCATAGTTCCATTTTTGTTGTTATACTGACCTTCTGAGGTATTACAAGAACTGATTTTGAAAAAAAAAGCAAAACAAACATATATATGTTAATTAAAATGAAAGAATGCCATTATTTGAAAAATGTCTGAAAAAATAAAATTATATTACCTATTACGCATAGCTGTGAGTAAATATTATTAGCATTTGATTTACTGATCAGAGCTATAATAACCACTGATCTGTGATTGTTTACAAACAGAAATGGTGTAAACTTTTGAATGCCTGTTAATAATCTTCAGTTTCAATTCAATAAACACAGCTTTCTTGTGTTTCCTGGGGACTAAGAAAAAATTCACAACAAAGTTCACAGTGTTCCTCTGAGAGTGCCCTGAAGTCTCTCAGGACGCTCCGAGCACTGCGGCCTCTCCGAGCTTTGTCAAGATTTGAAGGGATAAAGGTATGGATATTGGGAGGGGTGTGTATGTTTTGGAGTAGGTACATTTGAAGTTCTTATCAGATAACATCTCTATCTGGGGACTTGAAATAGCATTAAGATGGTTCAGATGGTTGTCATTTCAAAAATAATTTCATAGAAATATATAAATACAAATGAAAGAAGGAAATTCAATTATAGTGTGCTGATACCATGAATTATGGTGTACATCAATGAGACTGCTTAAATATTTCTTCACGTTTCCAAAATTTCAATGCAATTTGCAGAAGAAACAGACTTTTTTTTTTTAACTTGTACATTTCTGAAGCCCATTCCTTATATTACTTTAGACATGCAAAACATTTGTCCAATTACCCCAAACAAACTGTTACACAAGGAGGATACTGTACCTGTTTCTCTATTGATCTCTATGTCCTTAAAAGTGTAATGACTACAGCCCTTTCTTATTTTTTCCTTCCTCCCTCAGACAAGAAGTTAGGAACTGGGAAAAATAATTAAATAATTCATTGTTTCAGCTGAAACCATTCACTTTTTGTAACTCCTTTCCATAATTCCCCTTCTTTAAACTGCTGTGATTGTATCAATTTATCTTGACAGGTATCTCTGGGTAGGGTCCCGGCTCTGGGTGAATGTGACAGAGAGCAATCCTTTGCATACTTAAATTGGGTGGGACTTTCTTAACAGAAGAGGAGATTCTTCTTATTTAATCTTAGAAACTGCTTTGAGCGGACTATCTGGAGCATTTAAAGGCAGTGGAAAGAAATAAAATGTGATATAAGTTATCTAACCTATGTTAGATTACAGCATGTGATGAGATGCTAAAGTCAGGCTCCAGGATGGCTATTGAGCAAATTCTCCTTACAAATATGAAGGACAAGAAATCGGATGGAAACAACCAGTGTGAATTTATGAAAGTTGTCTTGATTGTCCTCTATGGCAAGATGTCTGAGGGAGGGAAAAGTTATCTGTGGTCTCATATGGAGATTAAACATGGTTTGGGTAGATGAACTGAAATGGAAATTGGCTGAACTGCTAAGTTCAATGTGAAAAGTTAAGTTCTATTGCTAAATCATTATTGATGGCTCAGTCCTGGGTTCCATACTATTTAAAGCTTCATTAGCAATCTGAATAATGTAGCTGAAAAGGTGAAGGGTATAGCTTGTTATGTCTGGGGAAGAGAAGATTAGAAGGAGGATCACTTGAGAACTAATTAGATAACAGATCTACTAATTGTTGTATTTAATTACATAGTTACAGGTAATTGAACTAAAGTTTTCTGATAGGACTGCATTGGGAAGATGAGAGAGAATGAGTTGGCAGTGAGTGATATTCCTATTAAATAATTGTCATGAGGATGTAATCGTGTGCCTAGAAAGGTAGTGCAATCTCCATCCTTGGAAAAAAATCAGAACGTGACTGGCTGAGACCCTGAACATTATAATCTAAGTTGGAACAGCTGATGTGTGTTCCTAGTGTATTACGTACTTCTAGTGAGTATTATCCAAGGCCAAGATAAAATTCTTGGAATTTTCTCATAATTCTAGCAGTGATCTATTTCCAGAGAAGTCTTCATTATATCCCACCACAAAATGACAAAAAGGGGTGAAAAGAAATAGAAGATAATCCCAAAATTCCTACCGGCAACAACCATGGTCCTTCTTGTCAGAATTAATGTGGTAGATTCCTGAACACGAATTTTTGTTGCTACTTGAGTCAGATCCACCAATGTTACCAGCAGAGTCACTCAAAGCTGGAATCTCATTTTCAGAGGTATCATTTCTGTAAGAGATCTAATGCATACCACAGTCTTGCATTCACCTTGTCCTCAAGCAAACCTAAATGAAGGAAGAGAGCTAACCAAAAAAAATCAGTCATCTTGGAAACTTAATTGTTTTGCTTTTTGTACCGTTTGCAGTCAGTTCCTAACGGTGAGGCTCATTTTGTTGTGGAGGTCAAGCTCTTGTTCTCTTACAAAACTTCTCTAAGATAAATGAGGATTATTTATGGCATGGTAGTATATGAGGACAACCTGTTCTCCTATACCTGTTTTTAGGGTCCAGAGCCACTATAGAGTATTTTTTTTTAAAGTACGTCTTTTACTCAAGGATGATTCTGGCTGCCATCTGTTCTGCTTCCTCAGAATCACAAGAAAGATAGCACAAGATGTTAAGACAAGCTTGGTGTCAGCTGAGGGTTGGTTTAAATATGTCATCTGCTAGTTTTTCTGTGAGTGAGAAGCTTCAGTAGATACCAAAGAAAAAAAGCGAATGTTTTCGGGGGAGAGGGAAGGTTTTCTACTGAATGTGAAAAGTTATTCTTTCTTTTCATTCATTTTATTTATTTAAGGTTGTTGTGAATGCACTTTTGGGAGCTATCCCCTCGATCCTGAACGTTTTACTCGTCTGTGTTGTCTTCTGGCTCCTGTTTAACATTGTAGGAGTAAAACTACTTGGACAAAAATTTTGGAAATGCGTGCTTGAGGCAGGAGAGAACATTAAAATTCACAACAAAAGTGACTGTAATAGCTATGGTGGGAAATGGACAAATAGTGATGTAAATTTTGATCATGTTGGGATGGGATACTTGGCTCTTCTCCAAGTGGTAAGTTCTGTAAAAATATACTCAGCTTCAATTTCTTCAAGAAAAGAGCAGCTCAGCCACCGGACACCACTGCACTTGTTTTTCTTGCTGAAAGTGATGATATTTTCTAGTTTAAACAAATATTTTTCATGCCTATAAGCTGCTGAGTTCCTGATAAAGTACGCTCTTACATATGCAACTTTGTTTCAGGGCTTTTTGATTTTTATTGCAGTTTTGATAAATATACCAAGCCTGAAATGTTCGTGGATTTAAAGTACTCATATTATGTAGAGTAAAAATTAGTCCTGTGTTGGGGAACAGAGAAACAGCTCAATGCAGTTTGTTTGTATTTCTGATATTATGTAAGTCATGAAGTGTCTGGATGCTAACTTACTGATCTTAGTACCACAAGAACATGATGCAAACACCTTTTGAAGTGCTTCCTCTCCCCGTGTTCTATCTAGGTGTTCTTTGCCCTGCATCCTCAAAGCCTTCTAGAATCCTGCAGAAATGCTAAAACTGATGTTTGTCTTAGAATTTATTTTCTGTCTTTTAGGATATACTTGCTAGTTGAACGTAAACTTTTACTGTTTTCCAAGAAATACAGAATTTACAAAAAAGCTTAAAAAAATTAATAATAAAAGAGATTTAGCAGGGTTCACACCTATTTTTTTTAATTTGTTTCTCTTTACTAATTAAATAGATCATTAGAACATTTTTTTTGTAGCTCACTGCTCACTTTTCTTCAACTGTAAAGACATTTATGTTAGCTCTACCTCATCTTTAATTTTAATTTTAATTTTTTTATTTACTTTTAATGAGAATAAACTCAGTGATGTAATTATTTTCAGGCAACTTTTAAAGGCTGGATGGACATCATGTATGCAGCAGTGGATGCACGTGAGGTAGGTCACTTCTTCCAGCTTTATTTGCATTATCAAATGAGAAATACATTCAGATTAGTGCTTTACACAATGCAGTGAAACAGAAGTCCTTGGAATACCAGATACCTGGAACTTAGATTTCTTAGAGAGAAAATGGGTTGAAATAGAGTGATGCTGCACAAGAGGTTGCGAGTTTTATACAAGTCTTTTTTTAGGAACAGAGTTGAGGAGATCTTAGAGGGATTATGCCTTTGAAGCAAATTTTCCTTCATGTTTAGCAGGTATTTCTGAAGGCTTGTTCCCTATGTTAGATATTCTTACTATTCCCCATTTCTATGTGCTGTTTCTTACTCTCATTAGTACAGTATGTTTTAACTTTTACATATTTAATTTCATTTGCTATTTCCATTTTTGTTCAAGTACCAGTCATGAAGTAGCTGCTAATTAAAACTAAGATCCTTGCTTGAACAGTTGATCATAGCAAGCTAGCAGTTTAAATTGCTGTTTGTCTGGGATAGTGTTCAAGAGTTGGTAACTCCACCAAAATGTTTCAGCCTGAGTTGTTTTTCTGATTCAGGCACTTGCAGTATCCCTTCTGATTGGAAATTATTATCGATTACTTAAGTAATTTGCTAAAGCTAGATTTGGCATCTTCCTTTACAGAGAGCTACAAGACAGAACAAGACTGTTGTTCCACATATAAATGTTTAAATATGAAAAAATAATGTATTCTTCCTTACAATAAAAAAAAAAAAAGTTTGGAAATAAAAAAGCTGTTACTATCTAATTTTTACTAATATTTTTTCTTTTCTTTTTTTTTTTTTTTTTTTTTTTGTAACAGGTAGATCAAGAGCCAGAATTTGAGGCATTCTTACCTATGTATTTTTACTTTGTGATTTTCATTATTTTTGGATCTTTCTTCATGCTGAATCTCTTCATTGGAGTGGTTATCAGCAACTTTAACCAACAAAGGAAAAAGATAAGTACTGTATGAAATAATTCATGGTGTTTTGTAATCCCAATTTGATTGGGTCTGTGCCAGTTTGGCATGTAGATATATACAATTTTCATTTAACTGTTTATAGAGATCTAAGGCTTAGTGAATAAAAGGCTTGGTGGCCTTTTATAATGGAGTTACATCATCAGAGGATGAAGAAAGAGAAACTGATGTAATCTACCTGGACTTGTGCAAAGCATTTGATACTGTCCTGTATGACACCCAGGTCACCAAATTGCAGAAAAAATGGATTTGATGGATGGACCACTCATTAGATAAGGAATTGGGTGGATGGCTGCACTCAGACTTGTGGTCAATGGCTCAGTTTCCAAGTGGAGACTGGTGACGAGTGGCATTCCTCAGGGATCAGTGTCGGGACTGGTGTTATTTAACATCTTTGTAGGTGACATGGACAGTGGGATCAAGTGAATCCTCAGCAAGTTTGCAGATGACACCAAGATGAGTGGTACAGTTGACACGCTACAGGGAAGAGGTGCTATCCAGAGGGACCTGGACAGCACCTTGAAAGGTGGGCCTGTGTTAACCTCAGCTGGGGCTGGGGCTCTTCAGCTGGAGAAGAAGAGGCTCCAAGGAGACTTCATAGAGGCCTTCAAGTACCTGAAGGGGGCCTACAGAAAAGCTGGGAAGGGTCTTTTTTATAAGGGCATTCAGTGACAGTATGAGGGGAAATAGTTTTAAACTGGAAGAGGATAGGTTTAGACTAGATATCAGGAAGACATTCATTACTGTGTTGGTGGTGAGACACTGAACAGGTTGCCCAATGAAGTTGTGTCCCTTCCCTGGAAGCATTCAAGGCCAGACTGGATGGGGGTGTGAGCAATCTTCTAGAGGGAATTGTCTCTGCCTATACCTGGGGCGTTGAAACTAGATGATCTTAAATGCCCCTTCCAACCCAAATCATTCTATGATTATGCTTTAAAGATTTTCTGTTTACAACAGAACAACTCCTTTTGCTGAGTGGAAACACCTAACAAACATGGTAAGGATGATTAAACCCCATAACTGCTGATGGGAGAAGTGGCAGCTGTTTTCCTGATGAAGAAACTTGAAAAGGCCTTGTTAATCAGAACTTTTTCTAAAAGTAGCTTCATTAAAAAAAAAAAAAATCTACAGTAAATTACTCTACAAATTAATTTATTAAGTTTAAAAAAAGAATTCTGTGGTCAGATGCAAACCCCAGGAAAAAGACAACCATTTAAAGTCTTCTTAAAGCCCTGGAGGACTGCTTCCCCTCCATGTTATTGCTGGATTATCTGAAATTATTATTAAGTCAGAGCTGAAGGAAAAATCTTGAAAGGAAAAACACAGCAAGAGAAGAGCAACAGTTAGCCTTCCCTGATATAAGCTTTAGCATCTGGAACCTTATTTATTATCAAGTTTATTTGTTGATTGAGTTCTCTCCCTGATTCATTTAGGAACTTAATATATCCATAATATTAAGGATAATTGAGTCCATGAATCCGCTGGGGAGTCTTACAATAAAACAAGTAAGCATTTTTGTTGGCAGACTGACAGGAGGTTTGCAGTTTCAAGGTACACATTTGAAAGACAGTCTCCACAGGAGCAATTTCATTATTTCCATAGGCTGAATTTTTCATCGTTTCCACAGGCTGACTTTTACTCCAAGCACCAAAGCACTACTGCCTTAGGTAGAAGATAAAAAGGCACACGAGAAATTTTTTGTCTTTCTGCATCTGGTCAGAGAAAAGATATGTATGAGGAGCAACTGTCCAATTTCACGGTCATAATTTCCTTTTACAACAAAGTACCAGGCATGATCCGAGCTGACAGCAATAATGTTAGTTAAGCAACTGATGAGCCCAAACACTTTTTAGAATTTGATGTGGATTTAACACTTTTTTCTGAGTACATGATATAAGTGTTTTTTTTTTTTTTCATTTCTCTTTTTTGGGGATTTTCATTGTGATAGATTGTAATGAATTTAAATTGAATTTTCAGAGGTCTTGCTAGAGTGATTAGAAGCTTAAATGCCCTAGGAGGTGTTGTTACACTTTTGTTTTACGAAATGCTAATCATTCAGTGATTCTGTGATGGCTTCTCCTGGATAATTGCTAAGTAATACAGATGGCATAAGCAGTAAATAGAGAAGTACCAGAAATTTGTGGTAAAGAGAATCCTACAGTATTCAGTCTCAAAGTGCTTTATTTTCCTTTTACTTGGTAACTCAGCCCTTCCCAAATATATAAATGAAAAGCATTTTATTGATGAGTCTTCTGTTATGGTTAAAATATGAAATAGATTCATCAGAACTTCAGAAGGGCTCTCCCAGTTGAGGAATCTAACTTGGGAATACTGACCAGAATTGATTTTCACCAAGCTCTGATCATTTTTTTCAGCACCCCTTTTCAAAGAAAAGATGAAATACTGAAAGAATTTCAGAATTCAGATTTTTTTGTTATTTTTTGTTGTTTGTTCTTAACATAAACTTGCTGGTGTTTATTTAGTTGAGTGCCTAAGCTTCAACTGTGTAACAGTACTCTATCCCTCTACTTAGGTGGAAAAGATCTCTTTTTGACTGAGGAACAGAAAAAGTACTATAATGCCCTAAAAAAACTCGGATCCAAGAAACCCCAAAAACCCATCCCAAGACCATTGGTGAGACCTTTTAAAATGGAGCATGGTAGAAAATGTAAAGATGATGTCCAGTTTAAATCAAGCATCAGGGCATCTGGATGTAAATTTACAAGTTGGAGCCCATCATCAGCCTACAACTCTGCTTATACTAAAATGTCTGCTTCAATAAGTGTTCCTATGCACAGAGCAGTCACAGACTTTTCCTCTTCTGTAATTTGTTTCTAAGGAAATGCAGTTGCATGATACCTGAGAATACTTGGCCATGTACTGAGTGTTACATTAAAATGCCCAAAGAAATCCCCTAAAATGCTTCTAGCACCTTCTTGTTAATTTTTCACTCTCTTAAATTCCCTTTTGAACCAAAAAAATATTGTTTAATGCTTGAATGTTGCCTGAGTCTTAGAAATAACGTTAATCCGTTCTCTCTCTCCACAGAATGCATTTCAAGGATTTTTTTTTGATATAGTGTCACACAAAGCATTTGACATTACTGTAGTGACTCTCATCTGTCTAAATATGGTTGTGATGATGGCAGAAAGTGACAATGGAAATATCAGGGATGTTCTTAAAAAGATCAACTACTTCTTTGTGGCAGTATTTACTGCGGAATGCGTCATAAAAATAATAGCCTTGAGACATTACTTCTTCACCGTTGGCTGGAACATATTTGATTTTATTGTTGTGGTCCTTTCACTAGTTAGTAAGTATCAACTGCTGCTAAATCAGATGGTGTGTCTTAACATTCAGCCAAATTTCAAAATGAAGTAACAGCTTACATATATCTGATAAATTCCTGGTCTATTTTACAAACCAGATACAAATTGATTCCTTCTAAAATGTTATGTGCTGTTTTCCATTGTATTTTTTTGTGGAGTATTAAAAGAAAAATGGATTGTTTTCTTTCTTCTTTTCCTTCTTTTTTTCCTTTCTTCTTTCCTTCTTTTTCTTCTTTTTTCTTTTGAAAGTATGAGTTTTATTGAGTAATTACCAGAATAGCATTTTAATGAAGCAGCATCTTTTCTAAGCTGTTGTACTTAAGTTGCAGTAGTCTTAATGTTTTTCTACTTTTGATCGGTAAGTAATCCAAGTAGCCATCATTTTCTCCGTAAAAGTAATTTGGGGTTAAAAATTCATTTGTATGAAAAAATGGGAGACTTTTATTTCCAGGACTTTCCTTTGAGAAGCCAGATCATGAGAACTAGTGAGAAAAGCTTAGAAGAATTGAATAGCTTAACACCATTCTTTGTCTGCATTACTGCCTGTGGCTGTGGAAGCTCCTATCATAACCCTAGCGCAAAGAAGGCGATAGTAAAGAAAAACTGATCTGAAAAACTGTTTTCTGTTTCATCCCTGTTCATGGAAGCTATTCCATGAAATCCAAAAGACTGCTGATTCTTAGGTCATCTGTTTGTAGTCATACTTTACTACTGCTGAAGGTAACGGTAGGATCATTGGAATGAACTGTGATGGAGGATTAATAGTGATAGCAGTTTTCTTTTATTTTCTTTTTCTCTGATCTCTCATCCAAATACCAAGCATTACAGTCAATTACTTTTAACATCTTTTAACATCTGGCTCATGCCAGCAGCAGCAGGAGCAGGTAGGGGATAAGCCCCATAGCTTTCAGCACAGGAGCCAAATGATTTGTAAAGGGTTTTTAAAAATACTAGCATGCTTTATCTCCTGAGCTACAGAAATTTGCGAGAATGCATTTTTCATGTTAAACAGAAAATTGTTAATTCTGCAATATTACAAGGTATTACAATTTATTTTGCTTTTCCTAAGTTCTTTCATAAGCCATTGCAATGTTGGTGATCATGTTTTTTTTCTTGAAAGTGATGTAATATGAAGTGATGAAGCTGATTACTTACCTCACCCAAAGCATAGAATGTAACAGTGACCGTAAGTATAGAAATGTCATTGGTATGTCCTGAAAATATTTTCTTTTTCCTTTCAAAGGTATTGCACTTGCTGAAGTCTTTTCAAAGTTCTTCTCTCCTACGCTTCTGAGAATTATTCGTTTGGCACGAATTGGCCGCATCCTGAGATTAGTTAAAAGAGCTAAAGGAATTCGAACTCTTCTTTTTGCTTTATTGATGTCTCTTCCATCTCTGTTCAACATTGGCCTCTTGCTATTTCTGGTTATGTTCATTTATGCTATTGTGGGCATGACAAATTTTGCCTGTCTTGCCTGGGAGGGTGGGATCGATAACCTTTTCAACTTCCAAACTTTTGATAGCAGCATACTCTGTCTCTTCCAAATTACAACATCAGCTGGCTGGGATGGCCTCTTGAGTCCAGTGTTAAAGGAATCCAAAACTTGTGCTCCCAACATAGCAGATAAGAACAGCACTACTTGCAAAAATAAAGTGGTTGGTATTACATTTTTTGTAAGCTATGTCATCATATCCTTTCTTATTGTTGTAAATATGTACATAGCTGTCATTTTAGAGAATTTCAGTGTTGCCACTGAAGAAAGTGCAGATCCTCTTTCTGAGGATGACTTTGATATGTTTTATGAAACCTGGGGGAATTTCGATCCTCAGGCAACACAGTTTATTGAATACTCTGCACTTTCAGACTTTGCAGACGCTCTGGCAGAACCCTTACGCATTCCAAAGCCAAATACAATTCAGCTCATATCCATGGACCTCCCAATGGTGAGTGGAGATAAGATTCACTGCTTGGATATCTTGCTTGCCTTCACTAAAAGGGTTTTAGGAGAATCTGGGAATTTTGAGGGTCTTGAATTACACATGGAAGAAAAATTTATGGCTGCCAATCCATCTAAGGTTCCCTACAAGCCAATTACTACTACACTTAAAAGAAAGCAAGAGGAGGTGTCAGCGCTCGTTATTCAGAGGGCCTTCAGGAGGCATTTGCTGCAACGTTCTCTGAAACATCAGCCTTTCTTACACTGTCGTAGACGTTATAACAGTGCAGTCTGCGCCGATGAGATACATGAGAAAGATGGTCTGATTGCATCAATGCTGAGTGAAAATTACGGGAGGAAGCTAGATAAATCACAAACTACATCTTCCATCTCCCTCCCGTTATTTTACGATGGTATTGCTGGAACAGATACTAATAAGGTGGGCACATAGTTTGTCCCAAGCTGCAACATTTGTGATAAAACTGATGATAGCTGTGCTTTGGCAAAGAAAACTTTTTGCTCCCAGAGCATGATATTCTAAATGTAAAGAGATTATAATATCTATTAAGTATTGTAATTATTCTGTTTTGCAAATGCTCCTTAAATAAGATTGGCACAAATATGTGATAAAAATTAGATGAAACTCAAACTATGGATTTTTTTTTTTTTTAATCAGCTGCTGGAGCTCCTGAGTTAATTTTTACTTCTGTCATTTTTTTCTTTTTTATTCCTTCATATTTCTGGTTTTATGGAAAAAATCTGTGCAAGATGAGCTGTAATGTGATCAGCAGGCACACAGGGCTGTAGAACAATGTGTATCTCCTCAGAGAGAATGCCTGGATTGAAAGCTTGCTTGTTGTAACAAAATGAAATAATTACTGCATTATCTGTGAAGGCACTCATTCAGGATGCTTAAATATAATCATCCACTAATTTGTAGGTTGTCTGAGACCATCTTCCTCCTGGTTCCTTTGGGAGTATTTACACTGAAGGATTCTTGAGATGTCTTTACACGTGCAACTAAGTGGATTTAGCAAATGATCCTCCAATGGCTGTGCTTGAAAGTTTTATGTAATGTGTTCTTTGTATCATTCAATGCAGGAAAACTGGTGATGACAATGTTTGAAAAATCAAAGGGGATTGTATAAGAGCCATTGTTTCATGAAAATCTTAAAAATTACTGTACCTAAAGTACCTAAGTATAAATACTTACTGGCTCTGAAAAAAAAAAAAAAACCCAAATAGAAAATGTGTGGATGGGTTTGTATTAACATTACTTTTACTGTTTTTTATCAGTTTAGTTCCATCAGGTGAACTGATACAGTTGTCTCAGAACTGCTGATGAACCATGGCTAATTAATAAAGAGCTCAGATGCTTACATAGTTTTGTCTGTTTTGTAAGAGGTGTCTTATCTTTCAGTTTTGGTTTATTACATGACACAATCTGCTGTTAGAGAGTGCAACCACAGCAGGGGCTTGGAGCTTGATGATCTTTAAGGTGCCTTCCAACCTAAGCCATTGTATTGTTTTATGAAATAGAACTGTCCAACAGGACAAAAAAAAACCAAAAAACCTCTGAATGTTTTACTCATTATCAAATCAAAAAAGATTAACACTTTTAGCCCATCTATCAGGTAATTACTCAATTTTTACAGCTATTTCCTGTACTAAATACAATTAAAACATGAAAAATAAAGTCAAATCTAAGCATAGGATAAGTAGAAGCACATCAAAGCTGAGAGCTAAGTTTAGGATTGAACTGCATTACTTCCAGAGCAGCTTACATTTAGGAGAAAAAAAAAAAAAAAAAGACCTTGCAAACCTTTTGAGATAACTCAGAGATTTGTGTGCATGGACAGAGTGGCTGTGCTTGGCATCATTCCTGAGCACCACAGGTTGCTTTTGTGCAGGCAGTGCACAGCGAGTGATGTGATGCTTTGCAGGCAAAACTACTTCTGTGAGCTGCCTTGAGTTGTCAGCTCGTGTTCGACAACGAGGTGCCGTTAGATGGCAGCGTTTACTGTGCTTTAGAAGATGGCCAATCAAGCGAAGCAGATGGCAAACTTCCACGTGGAACTATTAAATAAATTGTAAGTTACTTCGAAAATAATGTCACAGTTCTCTGTTTTTCTGCACTGGGCTCTCAAGCTGTAGCCACGGTTCTCAGTAGGGGCTCTTTTTTGCTGGCTGTGAACCGGATTTCACATGTGACAGCTTGACGGATCTTCGTTATTGTGAAAAACTGCCTCCTGCAAGCAGCCATCCTCCTACAGCGCTGCATCTTCCAGGCGCTGGTTGTGAGCGCGTCTCTACTCACCGCAGTGGGAAACGTTTGTTAGGCAGGGGTGAGAGTGCTGTGCTCTTGTGTGCTGGAATAGAAAAGAAGACTGGGACAGGTACGTGAAAGAGTTTTAGACAACATGTTACAAGATGCCAAGTTTTTTCTTGCATCAGATTTTTACAGTTCAAGGTTACGTTGAGTGAAACAGCAGGTGCTGTGTCGTAGGAATTGGAAACACTGGAGAGATGAAGGCCTTCATTTTTATTGCTGGGACTATTCAGCTGGCATACGCACATCCTTGGGGATTATTTCAACTCAGAACCGTAAAAAAAGGGTTTATGCACAGATCAGGATTGAGAGATCTGTTGTGTTATGCAGGAGGAACTGTACTTATTACCATTGTTCTTAACTACTGCCAAGTAATAGCAAGTCTGATTTGGGTCAGCAGACTTTACAGGCTTACCTTCCAAAAGCTCTTTCACCTGCCAAGGTAAAAGGTCTGTCTGTTGTTTCAGAGCTGAGAAATAAAATAGGGCTGGTGCATGCAGAGCTGCTCATCCCTTTTGCTCCTCAGAATATGGACATGCCTTCTGCATGAATACTTCTGTGTGTATACATGGTATCTTATCACATCTTGATGCAGGGGAAAAATTCTTCAGTCATTGCTAGGGTTGTAGAAGGCTTTTCAGTTTTAATCACCCACCAGTTAATTCCCAAATTCATACTTACTGATATTTTTTGTTGCATTATTAAATAAAAGAAAAAGAAAATCATGGCGTACTTTGCCTCCCATCAATACCAAAAATGTTGTAGAATCTTAATAGGAAATTAACAATGGAGTATCAATAATCCCATTAGCTGGTTCACTTAGCACAGTGTCTCATCCCAGATGCATAGTAAGGAAATGTCCCATATTCTGATGACTGAAGGAATAGCAGCATAATGACCCTTCCCCTTTGGTATCCTGAAGTATTGTCATTTCTAGCAAAAGGATATTCTGAAATGATAGCTTAGAAGCATCCTTTATGCCTTCCCTGTTCAAAATGTATGTATCATGCAACAGCAGACTTTAGTTCCAGAGATGGAACCTATATCATAAAAAAACAATTGGGAGCAATGTCTCCATCAGTATCAGGTGTGCATTCCTACAAAACACAGAACTGTTCCTAGCAAATTGTTTGATTCCTCCTACATTTGGAAGGCAAAATAGCCAATAAATCTGTTGCTTTGAACAAAAGGAAACTTTCATCCTGATTCTCAATCCAACAGTACAACGTCCCAAGCTTTCCTTTAAAGAGGCAGATATTCCTGCTGTTTAACTCAGATATTTACAAATTCAAACCCAGCATTTCAGTGCTCTGCTACCAAGAAGTTGTTACAGATGATTAGGAGTCAAATTCCACGTCTCTTAAAAATTAATGCAGCTCAGTTCTGGGGGGTTCCTCAACATAAGAGACATTAGAGTAAGTCCAGGACTAACAAGTTGGTGAAGCACATAACCATAAAGAGAGGCTGAAAGACTGTTTTATTTAGTCTTAAGGCGAAGAGGTGAAAGGATGGCTTTTAGTTTTGCCTTCAGCTTCCCAAAAGGTGATTATAGGGATGAGAGAGTCTCTGTGGGGTGCACATAGATACATCCAAGAGGCACTTTAACAAGCAAGTTCTGATTAGATATTAGAAAAAAAACCAAAAATCTGCAGTGTGGGTGGGTCAACATTGAAACAGATCACCCAAAGAGGTGGGATTTCTGTCTGTGGAGAAATTCAGGATGCAACCAGACAGGACACTGAGCAACTTGATTTAATTCCAAAGTTGGATCTGGATTGGCCTTGGGTTGGGTTAGATGAAATTTGGATTGCTCTATGACTCCATGACAGTGGCCATATCCTTTTCAAATGTAATTGTTACAGGCACACGGGTCTTACCCTCCTTATTCAACATTTGTATTGCACAGGGGTCTGAGTAAAACCAGTCAGCAAGATTTTGGATGTGCACCTCTAGGTCCTCTGTACAATAGATTGATTAGAGCAATTAGAGAGAAAATTAAGAGAAGACTTCTTATCTATCTACCTCCAATGGTAAGATACTTCTGTAACTCCTACAACGTCGTGTTAGATTTCTGAGAGTTTCCTCAGTAACCCCATCCATTATAAATATTTGGCTGGGGACATTGAGCAGCATCAGAGCAGAGTTTGGTGGCAGGAGTTTAGGCTCTTTGCTCTGCAAATTCCAGAGAAAATATGTGAAGGCATCAACTTAGTAAGTGGTTTTATTGATTTGCAGGGAGGTTTGAAAGAGCAATAGAGATGTTTTGGCAACCCCTCAGGAAATATAGCTGTTTGGGCAAATCTGTTACACTCATCTGCTTTCATAGTTCTGTAGAGCTAAGGTAAGACAAGCCAAGCTGATTTTGGTAACAGTTATTTCTTTAATACAAAGCTGTTCTGTGCAGATTAAGGATCTCTGCAGGATCCAAGGGAATGGCCTTGTAAAGGAGCAAAGGTCATTGCTAGGTTAGATTTACCAGAAAAGCTGTCCTATTTTCCTGCCCAAACATTGCATGTGATTTGTCCCCACAGGTATATTAAAGTACTCACAAGAAAAATAAAATTACAGCATTTTTCAATGTCTGCATCTTTCTTCAAATGAAGAGAATAGAACAGAGATAGTATGTTAGTAGTGTACCTGCTATGCTACAACTCTTAGCATTCTCTGTAGAAGTTACCAAGAAGGATTTCATACCACTACTCCAAATATCTACTTATTTTTTTTTTGGCTATGGCTGGAAGTATCAGTTACTATAATAGCACAGACATAAAGAGGCAAATAAAATGGAAAGTCATTCCTTTGTTCCTCATTTGCTACATCCCTTGCTATTCTTACTAGAGGAACTTGTAGTTGTTACAGCCAGTAACAACTTGTCTATGAGAACAAATTCCTCACTGTCTGTACTCAAAAATTCCCACGAACACTTCCAGCTGCTGCTTCACCTTCTACTTCTGAACAACATTTAGAGAAAATTTATCCCACTTTTCAGTGAAACGACAGTAAATTCTATTCCAAATCATACCAATGGGACCCCACCAGAGCTGCTTTAGAGAATGACATTTAGCTCCTCCCTATACTTATGTATGGCCCATTAGGCTGACGTTTTGTTTAGTATAAAACTTGTACTCATGTCCATTATGCCTACTTTGCTGATCATATTCTCAGCTTCCTACTGTATATTATTTTGTCCACCATCTGTGCAAATGGCAGAATATGCTGTGGTTGAGAGAACATCACATATAATGGGTAACAGCTGAGGTCTCTCACTGTCCCCTGAGTAGGGTCCTTATCCCTTCACAAACAGCTGCACCTCATCTTAGGTATAATAGATGGGTTTTCTGTTTTGTTTTTTTTTTGTTTCGTTTTGTTTGTTGTTGTTTTTGTTTTGTTTGTTTGTTTGTTTAATGAGAACATATCTCTGTGTTATCTGTGTTATTCTGTTTCCTTATGCCATATTGTTTCATCACATTCATGGTGATATGCATGAATATACCCAGCTGCCAAAAAAGAATCTTATTGCTCCTTACATTAATATTGCCCATTTCATTTTTTTACATTTACTCTGCATTCAGTCCAGAGAAAAGGCATTTGCTTCCTATGTGACTGACCAGGAATCCTGTACCATGGAAGAAGGCTGAATGGAGATGGGAGAAGTGCAACCTGCCCTCAAAGAGAATAATGAAGAATGTCACTGATCGCAATGGTTGCTAAGAAAGCTGACTTTATCTCAACACAAAGGAGACCAGAGGGTTGCCTTCACTTTAGCTGGGCTTCTGTGTCAGTTGAGTGGTGTAAATATTTCACCATGAGTTCTTTAACAAAGCGTATCTCTGGAGTTACCAAACCAGCATAGGTGGTGAGTGGAAGAAATGTGCTCAAACTGATTTCAACCCACACAGTACTGTGT